ATTATTTTGGATATTTTGAACTCATTATATTGGCAAAGACGAGAGGCCTTTTTTGTAGAAAATTATTTGGTTTTAATGCGATTTAATCCGTGAGCCACTTTTTGACACACCATATTTGAAATCAAGCGTTTGTTGGTCAAATCAAAGGTAAAAAATCTAAAAACAGTTCTAAAATTTAGCCAATAAACCAATGTTTGATAAGAAAATCTTTGTAAATCATCATTTTATAGCAAACTCACATGGAACGACCTCACAGCATCAAGAGCATCCACAAGCGATAAACCGTCACCAACCAGGGTCACGATCGAATCAGAGGACTGACTCTGGCCAAGCAATGGAACTATTAAACGATCTTTAATAAATTTTTGAGTTCATTTTTTGTGGATCAGAGAAAAAACGTCGATTCGATGGTGAATTCGATTTTTTTTGTTTTTATTTCAGTTTTAATTCTGCCTTGAGTTGAAAATATTTCAAGATGAGCGATCAGGACAAGAACTTATCGGTAAATGACTATTTAAACAAAAATTGAATTCATTTTAGGTTTTGCCTACCATTGAAGACTTGGCTTTGATGAGTGATATTGAAAAATTGAGACAGGAAATATTGTTGAGGTCTTTCAACTGTGGTTATGAGGTAAATGAAAGCCTAGGAAATATAGTAAGACACTATCGGCTATAACCGATTAGGGTTCTTCTATCTGCGCTCTAGGGTCTGTAAAACCAATATGATTGTAAGACCCGGCCAACCGCTGAAAAATCCATTGGGTTGAGGTCTGGAAAGCTAAGCAAAAATTTCGTCGCCAGACGGAATCGAACCCTTGACCCTCAGAGCGATAGCCGCATTGATCTCCAGCCGAACGTGTTCTTCCGATTCGATTTTACAAGACAAGATTCGACTAAAAGTCTTGAGTTTTGATAGTTTAAACTTTCAACAGTGATTTCTTCAAGCTTTCGCTGTTTTTGTGCGACTTTGAACAAGCTTTGGCTTCTAGAACCAACCACCACTGAAAAATCCATTGGGTTGAGGTCTGGAAAGCTAAGTGGCCACTCGGAAAAAGAAATGAAGTTTGGGAAGTTGTTTTTCGAGAACTCTTGGACTTTCTTGGATTTGTGCCATCTTGCTGATAAGTTCAAATACGATTTCCAAAATGTTTACGAGCCCAGGGCAAGAGTTCATCCTTGAGAAGAGCCAGGTAGTTATCGGAGTTGCACGCGTGATGCCTTGTTGCGAGAATTACCCTGTGTATGTACAGCTTGAGAAAAGAAAACTGTGTATGCACTTGTACACTATTTGAGTTTAAAGCTGTTAAAGTTAAAGTTAAATCTCGGGTTTGAGATTTATGTAAACATACCTTTAGACAGAGAAATCTATTAGTCTAACCGGTGTGAAGAGCATTTTTTTGTATTTTTTAATTAGGTTTATTACCCGATCCTAGTTCTAGAAACTAGTTCTACCCAGAAATGTATCTAGCAATGAAAACTTTTAAAAAATTTAAGAGGAAGAGCGAAAAGCTAGAAAGAATCTAACGAATACGATTGCAGGAAGAGGAAAGAGTCCTAGAAGAATTGCTAGAGAGAGCTACAACGAGTCAAGAAGCCAGGAAAAGCCAAACTTCCGAATTTTACTATTAAACAATAAATGTTTATTCACTTCGTTTTCGAAATTCTTATTACACGGTGCGGCCAAAATATCCGGTGGGACATATTAGCACAAATCTCTTGGGCATAAATCCTCATCTGAAATCTCTGAAATCGTCCAGACCGTCCCTCGTCTTGGAGACTTTCATTTCCATCTTTGCACCGTTGAAACCATCTTTGGCATTGTATTTCGCTAATGTTGTCTCACCAAAAACTTCAATGATTGTTCGATGCGATTCAACCGCGAATTTCCCTTGTTTAAAATCATACCACAGAGCGGCTCGAAGTCGAAACTTTCCGTCGTGCATTTTGTACCTGAAAATATTGTAAAATTTGTAAAAATTTGTAAAATTCAAATATAATATGAAAGGATAGAGTGTCTAGCTGATATCTATTTGAAAAAAATCGCATAAGCAAAGAACTGGAATTCAAAACCGACATTACTTTTTCCTCAACCTAATACTTTTTCCCATAATAGCGCGAGAACTCATTTATCCACGCTTCTTTTCATGTTTATGCGTTGACGGGGTAAAGATGTAGAAGTTTCAAATGCTAGCCTTCAAAAGGCAACTGCTAACTGTCCAGGCAAGGTTAATCAATGAAAATCTCTCTTAAAAACAGCAGAGACGGATGTTTTTAAGCACTTTCAAGTCAATTACCTAACCAGACTTGTTTCCTAATAGTAACCACTGGCAGGTTGAGTCAAAACTGTTTTGATTTAAGCATAAACAATAAAAATTCTCAATTCTTTAGAAATCGATTAATTTTGCACTGTTTTCAGAAGATTCTTCATCTAAAAAGAAGAAGATGCGGGAAACGAAGTGTTCGAATGTTCAGTCAAAAAACGATAAAACAGATCGACATTTTGTGATCGAAACAGATCGAAAAAGACCAAGAAGACGTCGTTTTTCATTTGGAATCAAGCCAAAGCCTATCAAAATTCAATCAAATTTTAAAAAACAAGTCACAAACGATGATTCGAAACAAAAACAAGTCAAAATGGACAAAGAATTTGAAGAAATTTTGTCTTTTGCTACTTCTTTTCTCACCAAATATTCTTCGTTAACGGTTTTGGATAAAAATTTGCCCAATGAACAGTCAACTATGGATCTTTCAAAAGATGTCTCTGGATCTCTGTGGTAGTTGGCATTATTTTTTGAAATTGTATTCAACTACAGTAACCTGTTGCTATCTGAAAATGATGAAATGAAAGCTTATAGTTTGTCATTTAGTAAGTCATTTAGTTTGTTTCTGAAAATTCGATTTCAATTAAAATCGATGATTTCGAGATGTACTTGCTTCAAAAGATTTCTGCGATCCTAAGCTATCATATCCTAGCTGCTTTATCCTACATATTATAAGCGAGAGAGTATGTGTGTGTCTGCGTGTGTGCCTATGCTTGTGTCTGCGTGTGTGTCTGTCTAGTATGCAATTTTAGTTCTATTCCGTTTAGGGAATATTCAGCTGTGACAAAATTTTTCGTATTTGGTTTTGAAAAGTTATACAAAAGTTTTATTGGGTTAAAAATCATAGAAAGGATTTCTCAAATATAACATTTTAATTTCTCATACATAAGTGGATTTCTGATGCTGATGTTGAGCTGGGTTATGACCTTGATGCCCAAGTGGGCCATGTTGAAACGAGACATTCTGAAGATCTGTTCTGGTTTTGCTTCAATTTTTCTCAAAACCTGATGATGACGCACAGATCTCTGAAAATTCTCAGCCAAATATTGCATCAATGACGGAGGGAATTGAATCCACAACTGATGGGCGAATTTGTAGGCGAAATCTTGCATCTCCTTGAAACACAAATTGTTCCTCTGAAAAAGCACTTTAGATTATTGAATGCTAAATGCTAAACCGTGCCCCAGGGCTACCGTAGGCCCTCAATTGTCTTTTTTCACCGGCATTTCAGTCTAATACATGCCCACTTTACCGTAATCTAGCGTGATAACGTTCCTAGTTTTATCGATTCCAACTCAAGTTGGTCTGATTTGACGAGCACTCAAAGATCCGGGTATTTGGATACTAACGAGGATACTAACGAGGCAAGCTTACGATAGCTTTCAAAAGTTTCAAATTGACCCACTAGTAGAAACTTTAGTAGAAAAGTTGACCCACTTTAGAAAGCCCTTTAGTCCAAGCGAGCCGACCTCCAGCTCAAAGCATTAAACTTGAATAACGTTCAAGTCATAAACTTTTGGCCTTTTTAATTTCCGTCTACACGATTCGGCTCTACACGAGACGGTAGAGCGATCAACGATAAAGAGATCACAAATGGCCTTCACTTTCATCCCTCCTTGACGGGCTTTGACAATGTTTTCCTTGGTCGAAGTGTCCAGATTTCGCTCGCAGGGCATCTAAAAAAAATAAATTAATGCACAAAAAACAAAGTCAGAAAAGAAAAAGAAAACGTTTGCAACAGAATACAACGATGGTGCAAGACTTTTTTGCGCTCTAAACCGGGTGTCTCTAATAAAACTTATTTTTTGCGTCAAAAGAAAAGACTTGCAATAAAAATGAATAATATTTTCGGAAACTAGACCACAATGGTAGAATTAGTTGCCAACAAGTTTTCTTTGAAACGCTTATTTTTGCGAAAAATTTTTTGTTTGAAGCCTTTGGGAGACAATGGTGCAAGCCTTTTTTGCTGACTGTAATAATTGAATCGGCACTACTTTTGCATGTTTTTATAGTTTTGGAACTGTTTCAGCAGCTTTTAAAACTTATTGCACCTAGAGCACCAAACGCTTTGAAAACCAAGAGATTTTCAAACCATGATCTACGAAAATTTTAGAGCTCAAGAAACTCACCGTATTCTATTCGAAGTGCTCAATGAGTTGCCGATCAAAATGTCTGAATCAAAGCGAAAAGCTTAGAAAAGATATTTTCTACAGTCAAAGCTCTTGTGAGAATGTTTTATGCGGTTGTGTGATTCTTTCTTTGTCCCGATCGGGTGCATCGTGTTAATCTCGACGAATGCTGGTGATTGAAAAAACATCAAGTTTTCAACGTTTATGAATTCAATTTGTGCTACGGTGCTGTGATAAATAGTTTTTGATTCATAAAAGCACTGAATTTTCAACAATTATTTAGTCAATAGGTTTATTGTAAAAAAAAAGGCAAAATTAGAAAGCTTTCTTAGCAAAATTGTCTCGTGAACTATTGATCCAACTATAATCAAAAGTTGATGAAACACTTTTTAACAAAAAATCATGAATTCAAAATTTTCAGAGTGACAAGATTGTGATAAAACGATCAAAAAGAGCGAGATAAATTGGATAAAATTTCTTAGCAATAATATCATTGGATTGAAATCAAGATCTGACAATAATCGTGAGTCAAAAACAGTATCTCTTTACATAATTGAGCAATTCCTCGGTCGTGGTGGCGGAGGTCGGTTACGGATGGCGGCCATTTCGGCCTCGTGTGCCTGTCGCAGGCGTTCCATTGGATCTTGTGGCATCTAGAAATGAGATTTAAAGTGAGGATTCTATTTTGTAAGTAAAACCACTGCAGGGAGGCTAAGCAGAGAATGGGATGAGTTTGAAAGCTATTTCGTGGAAAAACCTTACCCTAGCCAAATAGGTCAAACTCGGCCGTATCAGGCCAGCCCAGGGCCAGTCTGAAGACACGCCCAAACTAGTATCAGCCTAGTCAAAGACTCGACTAATTTTAAGTCCAGGACCAGGGCTGAGTCTTGAGGCTAGTCTGGTGACTAGTTGTTGACAATCGACAATCTGAGTTGACAAGCCGACCAAACAAGTCAAGCCAGACAAGCTGGAACAAATCGGTCTTTATCTCCGGTCCGGATCTAGTTTTGCCAACCGTTCTTGGGTCAGTTTCCCATCCTCATAAAGTCTAAAAGCACTAAAATAGCCTCTCAAAAGCCCCTCACCCTCATGTCTTCGCGTCTCTCCTGGCCTCGAGCTTCGTCGCGACGAGCACGCTCTTGTTGTTCCTGGAAATCACGCTTTAGTTGTGTACGTAAACAAATTTCAAATTTAAAGAATTAGCTTAGCTTTTCCTCACCATTCTCATCATTCTCATCATGTCTCTCTCGTAACGTCTCTCCATTTCTTGACGATCTCTTTCCTCGCGAGCGATTCGCTCGTCCCTTTCATGCCGCATTTGCTCCATTTGGCTAAAGAGTAAAACTTTCGTTTAAAAAACTACATTTACAATGAAGGTACTGTATGTCAAGATAGCTTTTAGAATCAAGTATGCCAGGTCTGACTAATTTCTTGGCTAAGCTTATAGTGAGAAAAGTTTTGACTAGAATTCTGACTAATGGCTTTCATGAAATTTTTCGGGTTCTTGATTCTTTAGTGGATTTTTATTACTTACACTTGTGAATTCTCGTTCATCGCTTTCATCGCTTTCATCATTGCCAATAATGCCTGCATTTCTTCCTCGTGACGAGCACGCTCTTCTTGGTCCTGGAAATCACGCTTTAGTTGTGTACGTAAACAAATTTCAAAGCTTAGCTTTTCCCCACCATTCTCAATTGCTCGTTCATCTCTCCGATCTTCTCTTCAAGCAATTCCAATCTTTTCTTGTCTTCAGCTTGTTTCAAATGGAGATCCTCCATTTGTTTGTTGAGCGCGCCGACTTTCAAATTGTGGCGAACCTCCATCTCGAAGCTGTCCTCGCATTTCTAAAACACAAGGTTCATCTAGAGTTCTCCGTCCTAACTGTTTTCTAAAATATGCCAATTTTTATAAGACTATCGTAGTCTTGCCTCCAGTTTCCTCACATCGAACTTTAAGTGATTTTACCTTGAATTGCGCCAATTGACTCTCCCTGAAGTTGTCTAACAGACGCTCGACGATTTCGGGAGAAATTTTGGGCAAAGCGGTCGCCACATCGGCAACGAATTCAGCCTGAATATGAATAGAGCTATACAAAGTTAAGATTTCATAGAGTTATCAAGTTATCAGCTTCTCTAAAGCCACCTTTTTGATCCCGTACTTTCCCTGGAGTAGATTCTGACAGGCATCGATCGCCTCTTCGATCTGAGACTCGTCTTTGATTGTGGCGACTTGCTGAAAGCTCAAATTTCTGGAGGACTTCGGGATAAAGTTGTTTCAAATTCGGGTAAGGCAAGAGGCAAGTAAGAAGTCAGGTCTAGGAATAGCAAGGCCCAAGCCAGGAGCCAGAACCAGGTCAACGACAAACCAGAAGCCAGAAGCTGACTGGCGTGGCTCTAGGTCTAATAGTAGGAAATTCTAGAAGCTGGAAGCACACGAATTTTTGTATCAAAGCCTAATCACTTACTTCTTTCAACGCTTTCCAATGCTCTTCCACCAATCCTTGGAACATCTCGTCAACCTGTTGGTGAAGGTGCCGAATGGCGTTGTCTTGTTGCAAGTCCTCATATCGAGCCTGAAGCTTGGGGTTTGAATAAAGTTAGCATATCAATCTTTAAAAGTTTTATTAGCTGACTAGCAGATAGCCCAAATATTCGAGATTTTACAGTAATCACCTGAATCATCTCGTTGAGCAAATTGCGCTTGTACTCGATCAGATCGGGCTCATCGAGAAAGTCTTGCACAACTAAAAATTGGAGTTTAACTCCTGATCTTGATTGCTGTAGATACCTACAGTATTGCCTAATGCAGTTTTTTAAACTCAAATGTAATTCCAACACCAACCATCTTCAAAATGCTTCATCGCTTCGGGGAAAGCTTTCTCGTGGCGTTCTCTCACAAACTCAGCTTTCTTGTTCTTCTCCAAACTCTCGACAAAATCAGGCTAAACTATCTAGTGTGTTTTGTGTTCAAAATTTCGAAATACACCCTTTCTGGTGCACTGTAGTTTGAAAGTTTTCTCACCCTCATTCCTTTCTCGTACACTTCGTAAGCTCCATTGACCGCCTCGGCCATTTGAATGTCCCTATAGCGATCCCTGTTGCTCGAGATCTTTTCCTGGCATCTTTCCTGGAAATTAGAAGTTGCACTTCATAAGGAAATTTGAGTTTTATAACGATCTACTGAAAGAAATCTAACCTCAAGCATCTTTCGGAAGTCATCAAAATGTTTGCCCTTCTCTTCAGCCGATCCGAAAAGCTGATTCGATTGATAGGCCTGAACGGGTGAAATAGAACAGTACGTTGAAGTTTCAGATCAAAAAAGTACTCAAACTCTGGCCAGACTTACTGTCGACCAAGCTGAGCCAAACCTCTAGACTTGGCTGCTGACCTGTCCTTTGGGCTTACAGAAGTAATAAAGCCCACCAGGTCTGTTTTCTGGCAGAGCTTTGGTCCTTCTTGATTTGGTCTAATCTAGTTTTCAGACCCTGGAGTCCAGAAGATTCCTTTTTACCTCAATGGCTTGTTGGATGAAATTCTGCAAGGCCTCCTCATACTCCCGGGGTCGAATCGGGCGATGACCATGCTCGCGAACAAGCTAAAGCTTCAGTAGGTGCAAAAACATGCTACTAATTTTGATATACTGCTAGGAACAACTGTAACTATTTCAGATCAATAAGAGTTTTTAAATGGTACCATTTCATGGAGGCTCGCAAAAGTCTCATTCCCAGCGATGCGAGCCTTCTCAAAGAAGAGTTGTGAAGTGGCCTGAAAGACTAAATCACTGAAAACAGAAAAATCTCACCGCAAACGCCGAGCAAATAGCCCTGTGACTGTTTGAGTGAATGTGGTCGACGAGATTCTAAAGGTTTTGCTGATGAGCTAGTCTTTAAAAAGAGTTGATAACAGATTCTCAACAAATAACAGATATGTATTTGCTAGTAGATGTGAACATATCGATTTTCTACCTCCACATATGCTCCCAAAGTTCTCCCAGTCAGTGGGGTACCCATCACTATTTTTGGGACCAAGTTTCTCAGCACATGATTCGCGCACTCGCAGAGCATCGACAAGAAATCGTCGCCACAATCTGAAAATGATTCTTGAGGTGTACACTTGTTGGGTTACTAAGATGCTTAACTGCGTTTTCCGGCAGGGATGAATTAGCTAGGGCATGGCAAGCCAGACTAGGCAATAGACAGTAGACTAGTCACCCAAATCTACCCTCCGCAACTTTTCAGTTCTCATAGATCCAGTCAATTGTACGCATTTCAATAAAATAGCGGATTTTCCTTCTCTTTTCCGTGCGGTTGATGTTTGTTCTTCTATCAAATGAAGAACAAGTGATTATATTGGGTTGGGGAGAATGAGTCTGCGCCGAAAATCAAAAAAATGTCTAAAACTTCTAGCGGACTTCGTCAAATAATATGCGTTTGATATCAGTAGAATCGTTAACTAATTCTCTACAAAATGACATTTAAAAGAAAATTCAAACAGCGCCTCCGCCCAAGAAAAAGCCATTTTTTCACAAAAACTACAAACTGTCTTCTAGAAAAAACCATTGGTGGGATCTTCCTGCAAATTTGGCAACTTAAGTAATTGAATGTGCTCTATCTTTTTTATATAAACACCAAAGAAGGTTTATGTGAAAGAAACTGTTCAAATGATGAGTCGGACTCTTTGCCATTTTAACCAGCTGCGTTTGGAAGTTCATAAACTCCACGAAAGAAAAGCTTTGTGGAATCTCTCAAAAGTGATTTTGTAGAGAAATAGTGGATCCTTTTGATGAAACCAAACGTATGTTTAAAGAAGGCTTTATGTGTGCTCATTATGTTTAAAGAAGGCTTTATGTGTGCTCATTATGTTTAAAGAAGGCTTTATGTGTGCTCATTATGTTTAAAGAAGGCTTTATGTGTGCTTTAACTCATTCTCCCCAACCCAATATTAGCTTGGCAAATATGAAAGGTTATTTTTTACAAAAAATATTGCCCTGTCGTTACGAAGAACATTCGCTGTCTAGGATTTTTCTTAATAATATGTCAAAATGTGCTCATGTTTTTTTTGCAAAAGCTTTTTTTGTTTTGAACAATATTTGTATTGTTTCAGTTGGGCAAAGATGGATAACCAAAAATTAAAAATCAGGACCGCCATTTTCTTTGAATTCAAGTTAAACAAGAAAGCTACGGAATGCCATCAGAACATTTGTACTGTTTTTGGAGAAGCTGCTCTTACTTACAAACAATGTTGTGTTTGGTACGATCGCTTCAAAACGGGAAACGAGTCATTGGAAGATGCACCACATGGAAAGCCACCGATTACTTTGGACGATCACTGTTACTGAACGAGGTCGACTTGGATCCATCGCAAAAGTGTAGAAAATTAGCAGAAAAGTTCGGATGCACTCATGTTACCATTTAAACGTTCTTGGAAAATCATATCGAAGCGGGAAATGGCTCCCCCACGATCTCACTGATGCCCACAAAGTCACACGAGTCACCTTGAGCTCTGTTCTTCTACGTAAAGCTAGCCATCGTGACTTTTGGAAGTATTTTTTGACATCTGATGAGACTTGGCTTTCGTATGAAAATATTCAACTCTATGGACAGTGGCTGAGTTTGAAGCAGACCTCTCATCCTATCCCGAAGCCTCCGAAAAAGTTATGCTTTTTGTGTGGTGGAATGCTAAGGGATTGGCTCATTTTGAAATATTAGATAAAGGAGACACTGTTGATGGAAGACTTTATGCAGAACAACTGGGTCGAGTCGATCGAGCACTGAGGAAAAAGCGGATCGATCCATCAAAGGTCAGATTTCTTCACGACAATGCTAGGCCGCACATTTCAAAGGTCGCCCACGAACAGATCGCTAAGTCAGGATGGAAACTTCTTCCTCACACACCATACAGCCCTGATCTAGCCCTATCGGATTACCATTTCTTTCGGTCAATGAAACAAGCAGTTTCTGGAGAGCAGTTCAAACAAAAGCAGGACATCGAAAATTGGGTTGCAAACTATTTTGCCTCTAAAAATCTTCAATTTTACGAGGGCGGTATTCGTGATTTGGGGCAACGTTGGAAAGAAGTTATTAATGCGTTTAGTGAATACATTTGATTTTGAAAGTGCTTAAATAAATTTTTCTGTTATGTTAAAAATGATCAAAAAAATAACCTTTCATATTTGCCAAGCTAATACATTTACAATGTGCAGGGATATTGACTGACCGGAATGTGCCAATGGATACCCAATGAAATTTACCAAGGACGATCGATCTTGGACACCCAAGGACGATCGGAATCCTTGATTTCGTTGCTACCGGAAACAATGTGAAAAAGAAGTTGGCATCCGACTGGGCTCATGGTTTGCTGGAAGGAAAGTTCAATTCGTAAAAGCTCTTCGTTTCATTTATGGATGGACACAGCAATGGACATCGACCCGCTATTGTTAGAAGGACCTGGAATCCGTCACTTAAATGGATCCGTCAACTACAATTGTTTTCAACAACTACATGAGAGATATTGGCGTCGATTATCTGGCAAATAAGCAAAAGAAGCAAGTCGGGGGACTAGGACACCTCGTTGAAATTGATGAGAGTTTCAAAAAGGAAAAACAAATCGAGAAGAGTTTTGCCCTGAAGTCTGGATCTTCCATTCAAGAGTTTGAGTCCGGTTCACTGATTATTTCCGATTCATGGCGCGGATACAACTTTCAGCAAATCAAACAGGCTTCAACCACGAGAAGGTCAACCATGGCTTTAATTTCTTGAACTCAGACAATCCGAACATTCACACACAATCTTGTCTTTTTTGTAAGCAGCAAGTAAGAAGACAATAAATGCAAAGTTGCTACGGGTAAAAATTTATTTGGGTGACGCGATGGGTAAAACCCATCAGCATCAAAATTTACATTAGCTGAATATCTTTAAATTTTTCCATTAATTTTCCATTAATTCCCGATAAGCCATTAACGAGATTCCCGCTTAACAAGTCTACTAGGCCGGTCTGTTCAGAAATCAGGTTTGAAATCAGGTCTTCTGGTAGACCCAACTCATGGTTTAGGTCTACAAGTAATGCCAGAAATTCCATAGAGCTAGTTTTGCGTTAGTTCTAGTTCCACACGCAGCTAGTTTCATATTTTTAAACTCTTCAACCCTTCTACTACACCAGAGCTATCAAACATAAATCCAATTTTACTATATACGTTTAAAGCCTATCAGTCTGGGACAATAAAACCCCACCTTTAGCCAAAATCTCCCCGGATGCGTTGATCACTGCATTGGATGGTCGGGGCACCATACAGCATTCCACTTTCTCGAACGCTTCAAAGACTCCATTGAGGAGGCGGGCAAGTTCGGGGCCGCTGCGAGTGTTCACCTGAATAGTTTTGCAGAAGTAGTACTAGGGTACAATAAAACATCGAGTAGCACTGTAATATAATAGTACAGCTTTTTCCTTACCCTCATTTGCTCCAGGTATTCAGGGTCAAAGCCGGAGGCAATCGAGTCGCGAACCATGATCAGAAAGTGCTGAAAGAAGAGAGTTATGTGCAAAAAGGCTATCATGTACCAGTAGTACTGTATTGTCTACGGTATGCCAGACTGGCTACAGGAAACCAGCAGTGTGCAAGACTGACTGGCTACAAGCTGATTACAGGATGCCAGACTGACTACAGGATCGCTACAATATCCCAGGCGACTACAGTATTTCTACAGTATCCCAGGCTACTACAATATCACTACAGTGTGCTCACAGTCTGCCAGGCCGACTATAACATTGCTACAGTATTTCCACTGCACCCAAAGCTTTCACAAACCTGTCCCACTCTCTCCTCCGTCCTCTGACTGAAGGCAATGAACATGTTCAACGCGTCCAAATCCTGTGCATCGATTTGGCTCTTTGTGTTGAAGATCTAATTCGCTAGAATTTGGATTAGAAAATCCCATACCTTGATCGACGACATTAATAGCGAGATGGCGAAAATTATGGCCGAGTCGGCAATGTTGCTGGAAGTGTCAAATGTGCCCTGGGTGTCCATTAGGATGACGGCTAGCTGGAAAAGTATTGAATGTGAACTACGTTATGTAATAAAGTACGACTTTTAGCTCACTACAAGCTACAGTATTGTTACGGTAACCCACGGCTTACAGTAGTGCTACGGTATCACTACAGTATACCAAGCTGACTACAGTATTACTAAAGACTGGCTGTAGTATGTACACCGGTTTACCATAATTAGAAGACTAAGTCTTAGAAACCCTCACCTCGTTCCCATCTTTATCTTGTCGATCGAAGACTTTTGGCCAAACCATAATTCCTTTGGTGTGACGCTTAAAACCGCGTTGGAATTCGATTCGACCGCGTCCCCTGAAAAATTCGATTTTGGCAATAGCTTGATTCTTAAATACAGTAATGGAGTAAAGTCTTTGAATTAATTAGAAGACCTTTGAAAACCAAACCCGACAAAATCCTCCGGATCAAAACCGGCTCTTCCCCTCTGCAATCCATTTAAGAGCACATTGTTCCAGAAGGTTTTTCCTTGCCGAAATTTCCCAGCTGTTGAAATCACGGATACCTGGCGAGAAGTTAAGAATTTAGAGAAAATCTTTCTACCGATCGATTGCCACATTGAGCGCAAAGTGAGTCGAGCACTTCCTTGTTGAAATACGTTTTCCCGTCTTCGGTGATGTCGAAGAGTTGCAGCAATTTGAGCTCCGGCTGAATTTTGGGACTTGAATGGACCTTTGAATTCTAAGCCAAAGTACTACCAAAGTACTAGCGATTTAGTCTTTGACTTTACCTCTTCCTCATTTCCATATGATCCAAGTGGGGGAGGAGTGATTGTTGGAGCGTATTGGACAGAAGAACCTTCTCGTTGTTGTTCTCCTTTTGTCTCTCTCATCACCAATTCGGTGACATTCGGGGTTTTCTGGAAATAATTGCATTAGAAGAGCCAGTATATTGTGATCAGTTTTTAAAAAAATAGCTTGATCTTTAGAATGGAGAATTCAACACTCACATCCTGGTCAAACTTGGTTTCAACGAGCGATCGCTCACGCCGTTTCTTGATTTCTTCGAAGAACTTCTAAATCAAAATATTTGATTTGTCTTATAGTACAGATAAAATACAAATATAATACAGATATATAGATTTTAGAATTCATCTTTCAAGGTTTAAACCTTTCTCGCGTGCTCTTTCCCAACGGTGATCATCGTCTGGTCGGCTCCATCGTAGTGCTCAATGTGCTAAAATTTCAAGGTATTAATAATGTACTAAAACCTACTGCAAACTGTTAGGCTACTGCAAATCTATCCAATCTATTAAAATGTATTCTATCGATCAATCTATTAGCCAATCTATCGACCATCTATTCGACTTGAGCATTTTGTCTCTTTATACAGTCGCGACGACGGTATTTTAGCGTACAGTCGCGTAGGCGTTAACTGTTAACCGTTTTACTGATGATTTGGTAAAACTTCAAAGATAAGCTAAATTATTGGGTTGGTCAATTGAAGACTGCCGGACTTTGCCGGAACTAAAATTTATTCAACATAAAACCATGAATTCATTGCAAATAATTTCCATTATTATTGACGACTTCTGCCCATTTTACAGGCAATTTGAGAATTCCTCTTTCGTAGCAGGATTTTGGTTTGTGTGTAAGACAAGTGTGGGAGCTCAAAAATGGAGGACTGGAGATGTCCTAGTTTGAGCACTTTCTTCGAAAGAAACCCATTTTGGTGTCAATAGAAAAGTTCTAGAGAATCAGAAATTAAGCTTAGAGCCGATTTTCCTAAAAGATTCACTTAGTAGTTTTGCTTAAAATGCAAGTTTTGTAAAAAATTCGTAAATTTCGCATTCCTTGAAAACCAGTTTTTTGAATCTTTCTGAAAATTTGGATATAAAATTCATTTTTGATTTTCTACAACTTTTCCATTGGCACCAAAATAAGTTTCTTTTGAAGGAAGTGCTCAAACTTTTACATATGACAATAGCCGGCAGTTTTCAATTCACCAACCCAATATTATAGTCATTTGATAGCCTTGAGTCTCCTTCTGAAAACTAGTACAAAGTCTTTCACCCAAATTCATTTTCTAATTGAATAAGTCTCAAGCTAAATGAAATACAGTTTTTTCATTAGATGATCCAATGATTTCTCTTTCAAATGACTTTTGAAAGTTTCCGAAAAGCTTTATTTTGAAGATTTTTGATTAGAAAGAGGCCGAATGTTCAAAAAAAGGCCCGATGATGCGATTTTAACAGTTTTTACTAATGAAACCTATTTTAATGACAAAATAAAAAAGGTAGCGCATAAAAAGTTTCATCTACAACCAAGGATTTGAGAATAATTCGCTTAACGGTTTAGCTTTACATGCTCATTTTTCATTATTAGTGCATCATTAGTACTGATGAGCCTTATCGTCGTGAATGTGTTAAAAGTTGTTGTGATTGTCGTTCTTTGGGCATACTTTGCGCTCATTTTTAAAAATTTATGTTCTGGTGTACTAATTGAGTTTCAAAGTAGTAGAGCAATTATATTGAAGAATAATTACTCACCGAGACCTTGTTCAAGTAGAGCTTGTAGAGCTCATCGACAGCCTCCTCGGTGGTTGATTGTGGCTGAAATTTGGTAGTAAATAAGAAAAAAGAAAAATAAATAGTTTATATAGCTTTTTAAGTCTAGATTCTATTTAAAAAGTTTGATTCTTTTGTTAAAGCATGGTTGATGGTGTTCTCGAAAAAATTCTCTGAAATTTGAGAGAAATTAAATCAGGTCTCCCTTACTCGAGAGGGAGTTAACTCTAGGTAGAAACGAAGGATCTAACCGGGCAACTATTTTGAGGTAAAATAGAAGAAGACATAGAAAAATCTAGCCAAGTTTCAGTAATTGAGCCAGTTATCACGTTGGATTTTGCTCCTCCCTTCATTCTCAAACTCTGCAAGGGTAAAACTCCAGCTAGCTTATCAAAATATCAATAAAAATTGTTCAAAAACTTTCTGAAAAGATATTAATAGATTCATCATGTTTGATTACCTTAAAACAATGAAAATCTGCGCAAGAAAATAAAGAAAAAAGATAATTTTTCAAATTTCAAACAAATTTAGGGTTTTCAGCCAAAAAAAACAATGAAAAACGCAGAGATTTGCAAAAAAAAATTCTCTTGCTCAATCTTTTTCTGTTTTGTTCTGCTTTAAACTTTCGCATAATTTTTTCCCAAGGATCTAAAGTCAAAAAGTGTGATCAAGGCGATTTTCGCCAAAAACTGATAAAGAAGCATTAGACACAAAAGGAATCTGCAGAATGATTGAACCATTTCTGGACTCTGATCTCGGGTTAAAGTTTAAAAAGTCAACAAAAAAGGGCTAATCTGTTTGCAAAGCAGGAGTTTGAAAGTTTCAACTAGAACAATGACAAAGGGACAATGTTGCAAAGTTTTTAGTCCAAAGAGAGCAAGTCTATCCTCATAAATCAAACTAGAATATTTAGAATAGTCAATTCTCCATAAAGCGATTTTTGTGAATCTCTTCTGAATTTTCTCCAAACGTTCACTGGAGACTTGTGAACTTGTTATTAGGTTGGTGCAGTTGAAACTTCCGTCACATTTGTTTGTTAATATTTTCGACCTAATAAAAGTTTTTATTGAATATATTTGTCTATCTGGAAGAGCGTCTCTTTGCGCGTCATTTTCTCTCGACTCACATTATTGCGAACAAACCGGCCTCTATCTCCGGTCCGGGTCTAGTTTTGCCAACCGTTTTTGGGTCAGTTTCCCATCCTCATAAAGTCTAAAAGCACTAAAATAGCCTCTCAAAAGCCCCTCACCCTCATGTCTTCGCGTCTCTCCTGGTCTCGAGCTTCGTCGCGACGAGCACGCTCTTGTTGTTCCTGGAAATCACGCTTTAGTTGTGTACGTAAACAAATTTCAAATTGAAAGAATTAGCTTAGCTTTTCCTCACCATTCTCATCATTTCCATGTCTATCTCGTATCGTCTCTCCCTTTCTTGACGATCTCTTTCCTCGAAAGCAATTTGCCCATACATTTGATCTATTTGGCTAAAAAGCACACCTTTGCTTTAAAAGAACAACATTTACCATGAAGGTACTGTAGGCTATAATATCCACTATATACAAAAGAGTAGTGTCTGTATGTCTATCTGCCTGTACGGGCATTTCCTCTGCTGTGTTTTGACCAATAAAGCTAAAACTTCTTTAGAAAACTTTAGAATATATTATAGTTGTGCCATTTGAAAATAAAAGTTTAAAAATCAAAGTTCGGTGAAACACAAGGGAATCGGAACTGGGTCGTGTTCGCCGTAGACAAGCGTGCTCCCGACTGTGCCACGGCGACAAAAACTATGCCCCAAAAAGCCAAAAAAAAACCCGTTTTTTTGGCTGGTCTTTTAGAATCAAGTATTCTAGGTGATTATTCGCTTGTTCTGACTGATTTCTTGGCTGATTAAGCCTATAGTAAGAAAAGTTCTGACTAGAATTCCGACTAAACGATGGCAAAGATGACTTTTACTGTGAAATGAAGAGTTCAGTAGAGGATTCAATTCAGGGTTCTTGATTCTTTACAGATGTTTATTGCTTACGCTTGTGAATTCTCGTTCATCACTTTCATCTTCGTCAATAATGTCTGCATCTCTGAAGCGTGACTCTCGGCCTCGGCACGGAGTCGACGCTCTTCTACTAAAATGAGAATCAAAGTTAATTGTTAGCAAATAGACCAAAATCACTAAAATTTACGAAATTCAATAACTAAGTTGAATTTGGGAGGCTATTGATGTATATTTCCCGGTAGGACTTTACTTTGTATACTTCCCAACGGAACTTTAAGGAGTCAGCGCTGAGAATGAAAATTCGAATTCTCTTGCCGATACTTTTCCCCATGTCAAGTATGACTTCAAAACAACGAACCTAATTGCTTGTTCATCTCCCCTAACTGTGCATTCGTTTCCTCTTCAAGCGATTCCAATCTCTTCTTGTCTTCCGCTTGTTTCACGTGGAGATCCGCCATTTCTTTGCTGACTTTCAAATTGTGGAGAACCTCCTTCTCGAAGCTGTCCTCGCATTTCTGAAATACAAGGTTCATCTAGAGTTGTCCTTCCCAACTGCTTTCTAAAATGCGTCAATTTTTGAAGACTATCGTAGCCTTCCCTCCAGTTTCCTCACATCTAGCTGCATTGTACTGTATAATAAGTTTTTGTACTTCAAAAAAAAAATTAGTGTAGAAGCTGTTTATGCTAAGAAATCGGTGATTTGACCTTAAATTGCGCTGATTGGCTGCTCCTGCAGTTGTCTAACAGATTGAGCAAAGCGCTCGCCACATCGGCAATGAATTCAGCCTGCATATGCTTATATTTAGAGCTATACAAAGTTTAGATTTCATAGAGTTTTCAAGTTATCAGCTTCTCTAAAGCCACCTTTTTGATCCCGTACTTTTCCCGAAGTAGCTTCTGACAGACATCGATCGCCTCTTTGGTCTCAGACTCGTCTTTGATTCTGGCGACTTGCTGAAAGCTCAAATTTCTGAAGGGCTTTAAGATCAAGTTGTCTCAAATTCGCGTAAGGCCAGAAGCCAGGTCTAGGATTGGCAAGGCCCAAGCCAGGAGCCAGAACCGGGTCAACGATAGGTCAGAAGCCAAGCCTAGGGCTGACTGGCTTGGCTCTAGGTCTAATAGTAGGAAATTCTAGAAGCTGGATGCACACGAATTTTTGTATCTAAGCCTAGTCACTTACTTCTTTCAACGCTTTCCAATGCTCTTCCACCAATCCTTGGAACATCTCGTCAACCTGTTGGTGAAGGTGCTGAATGGCGTTGTCTTGTTGCAAGTCCTCATATCGAGCCTGAAACTTGGGGTTTGGATAAAGTTAGCATGTCAATCTTTAAAAGCTTTATTAGCTGAATACCAGATAGTCTAAATACTGGGGGTTTTTCAGTAATCACCTGAATCATCTCGTTAAGCAAGTTGCATTTGTACTCGATCAGATCGGGCTCATCGAGAAAGTCTTGGACAACTAAAAATTGCAGTTTAATTCCTGAGCTTAGTTACTGTGGATACCTACAGTATTGCCTAATGCAGTTTTTTAAACTCAAATGTAATTCCAACACCGACCATTTTCAAAATGCTTCATGGCTTCGGGGAAAGCTTTCTTGTGGCGGTCTCTCACAAACTCAGCTTTCTTGTTCTTCTCCAAACTCTCGACAAAATCAGGCTAAACTATCTAGCGTATTTTGTGTCCAAAATTTCGAAATACACTCTTTCTGGTGCATTGTAGTTTGAAAGTTTTCTCACCCTCATTCCTTTCTCGTACACTTCGTACACATCGATCGCCTCTTTGGTCTCAGACTCGTCTTTGATTCTGGCGACTTGCTGAAAGCTCCAGTTTGTGAAGGTCTTTGGGATAGAGTAGTTTTAAATTCGGGTAAAGCCAGAGCCAAGCCAGAAGGCAGGTCTAGGTCTGGCAAGACCCAAGTCAAAAGCCAGGACCAGGTTCCAACTCCTATGCAGCGCGACCTTGACGATTTTTTTCAAAGACCAATTTTGAGAGTGCTAAACGACCTGCGGCCTCAAAAGCCCCCATAAATATTGGACACCCTGTATTTAATCTATTCGGATTAACTAGGAATCTTAGATCTACAGCTTTTTAATTTCAGATTGTAAGCGCTTAAAATTCTTGCAATCTAGTGACTTTGTATCTGCAGCTAGTATCTAAACCTAAAGATTCAACGTGTTCTCAGGAATGCAATCCATCGAAGGAGCTCGATCTAATAGTAATTGTTTATGCTTTAGAAAATAAAAAGTTCACATCTTGCAGGTCCTTGATTATTAGTAGCGCTGAGAAGCAGTTTGTTCTCTTGCCAGTCTCATAGGCGGTGCAACTAAAATATGTTTGAAATACAGGGTGACCAGAAATAACGTTGCGGCCTAATTTAGCCTATTTTTTAAAAATCCAAAAAGATTTTGTAACAGAAACAATTTTTTATTAACAACATGATATAAAGAGAGCATATAACCTACTTTTCTTCAAAGTGGCCACCTTTGGCTCCGATGCAGAGCCTCAAACGCTTGATGAAGTTTTCGGCGATGGGCCGCAGCTCGGCCGGAGTGATTCGATCCCATTCCCTGGTCAACGATTGCTTAAGAGCCTCCAAACTTTTGTGGGTTTTTGCACAAGGCCTTGCCTCCAAAATTCACCAAACACTGTAGTCCAACGGATTGAGATCGCACGAATACGGAGGCCATTCTTGGGCCGAGATGAAATCCGGAAAGTTTGTCCTCCACCAGTCCTGTGTGGATTTGGCTCGATGAGAAGGAGCGGAGTCTTGTTGGAAGGTCCAAAATCCGTTACCAAAATGCTGTTGAGCCCATGGAAGCAAAACATCCTCAAGAATCTTTTTTTGGTACACATCCTTATTGATTTTTACCCCAGAATCGATGAAAATGAGAGGAGTTTGCCGGTTGCGCAGACTCCGGGCCATACCATGACCGATTTGGGATTTTGTCGGTCTTGAACAATCGCAGAGCTGCCTGGAGAAGAGAAGACGTTGACCAAATCCGATCGTTTTGGTGGTTGTAGATTTGCTCCACCGAGAAGAGCTTCTCGTCAGAAAACAGGATTCGCTCCCAGTGTGGAGTTGCGGCCCGCTTGAGAAGCTCTCGACATCTTTCGAGTCGAACTCGTTTGTTGTCGTCGTCGAGTTGTTGCCTTTGCTTGAGCTTGTAAGGGTGAAGATTGAGCTCATTTTTGACCATAAGTCTAACCGATTCGCGAGCGATCCCCGTCTGTCGAGCGATCTTTCTCATTGAGACCGGTGGATTCCGGGCCATGCGCTTCTGAATCACTTTGCGATTTCTGGGGGTGTTGACTGTTCTTTTTCTGCCTCTTCCTGGACGATCTCCATCGTTGCCAAGCTCCTTGTATAGCTTAATCGCTTTTGAGACGAGCTGATGAGAAACACGTAGCAATCGCGCGATCGCACTCACGCATTGACCTTGACGATGAAGCTCCAGAATGGCAGATCGCTTGTTTGTCATCCTATAAAGAAATGAATAGACTTGAAACAAAGTAAAACAACAAAGAAACTAATAAAAACAATCACAGAGAATAGGTTAAAAATAAATTTGTCTCCCAAAATTGAAACTTTGAGGATTTTAGGCTGCCGAAAATCCCGCAACGTTATTTCTGCTAACCCTGTAAAGCTGCCATGCCATTCAATAATTTACAAAAATCTTTACCTCTCAATCAAAGCCTCGAATTTATCGTAAAAACTTGGATCAACTTCAAAAGTTTTGGAGGTTTCGGAAATCTTTGCTGGGAAAGATTGCTTGCCAAAAGTTTTTGGATCCGCAGAGGGTTGTTTTCTAAAATTTTAAATGCTAAAATAATTTAGCAATAGACTCACTCCCGCTCAACAATATGCCAAGAAACAACGCCAACACTATAAAGATCAGTCGACGCAGCTAACTAAAAAAATCTTGCTGCAAACATCAAAATCACAGACTACCGAAAACTTTTCCAACTCGTTACCCCTCAGAGCACAACCAAAGCCAGTTAGTTTTATATTCAAGTTTTCCGTGACAAGAATGCTGAAATTATGCTTTAAAAATCCGTTTTACAAGACATAATGTATGTTACTTGTGTAGATTTATATTTGTATGAGCGATTTTCTTCTCGCAAAGGTGGCAAAGTGCTCGAAGCAGTTGCTTCATCCATTCTAATACAGTCTCCATCTTATAACGAATTGATTGGTCAAAAACGACTAAATTTGCTGATATTGCCTACTGTAAGTATAGTTCTAGAGTGCTTTTGAAGACAAAATTGAGATTAGGTAAAAAAAACCCTGCGCCAAATTACCAGCTTACTAGCATTTGAAGTTAACAAAGCAAATGTGCCAACAGCTGTTCTATTCACCATATCAATACTAACAATAGCTTAACCCATTCGAAACTTCTGCAGCGAATAGTCGCTGCAGCAAAAACTCAGGAACGGACCGCTGCAGCGATTATTCGCTGCAGCGCTAATTGAGCTATTTTCATTCAATTAATTGGTTTTTTTTGCTGTTTTTTAGCATTACATGTATTCCAATTGTAAGAGATCTACAAATTACGTGGGCAAAAAGGACGTGTCATATTTAGCCGGAATCAATGCAGCCTCTGGTTTTGCATTGAAATGTTCCATAATAGCTCTAATCTTATAAAGCTGATCTCCTGCAGGGTCCAGTTCATTATCACAAAACGCAGGTTTCGAAGAATAGATTCAAATTTTGCTCTTGACATAATGTGGGACATGTGGGAAAATCCTCCTAATCCAGGCCTGCTACTCCAGTAGTCACGAATCCTCGGTAATTTGACGATTCCCATTTGAAGATACAGAGCCAGGAAGAGCTCGAAAGATTTTGCATCGAAATCCTGCCAGTTTGTTTTTTCCATGTTTATTAGATTCGCCTACTAACATATTGATTAATTTGTCGTCGATAAAATAAGAATAATAATTGGTAGGATCTTGAAAAGTACTGAAGTCAAATCCAAATCGTTCTTCATCAAAAATTAATGATGTAGGAGACTCTCTTAAACCTTTCCAACCATCTGGATAATCTGCTTCGGAGTCAAAAATGTCAAAAAAAGGCTTGGTCCGTAGACGAAAAAAAAGAAAAAACGCTGCGGTTTTGAATGGGTTAAGATTGACGCTGATTAGGAGCAAGATTTGAAGACTCACCATCTTCTAATGGCCCATTTTCACAATATTCCATTAGGATACCCAATTGCGGTCTTTTAACCGTTCCAAAGTAAGAAATAATGTTCGAATGTTTGCATCTACGCAAAACCTCGCACTCTTCTTTGAAATCCCGAATATAGCCAGGGTTCTCGGGGAGAAAATATTTGATCACGTGACCTCTAAAAGTTAGATTTGTCGCCTAGTTTAGAATTACAACTTCAGTCTTAGTAGATTTATCAGCCGATTGTAAGTCAAGTTGGCTATACTAACCCAAATCAATTAGTATTAGCTTATCAACCTTAAAACTGATTTTCACAAACAGTTGACACTTAGTTGTGAATGAATTCAAAATTACTTAATTGTAAAAAGTGTTAACAAAACTGAACCTTTGATTTAGATAACTAGATAGCTTAGATAACTCACTCTTCTTTGAGGTAAACAATCTTTTGAAGAGAACCATCAAATAAAACCCGTTCTTCAGGGTTGAGCGGTCTATTGTCATCGTTCATTTTGTTCAGCTCAGTAGCGAAAATTCAAAACGTCGCTCCGTGAATGCAAAGAATATTGATCTTAAACTAGTTAAATTCCTACATAGCCAGAATATTGGGGATCTAGTGGAAATAGCGCCGCCAAAACAGCGCCGTTCAAAAAAGCGCGAAATTTAAAGATTTTAGGGATTTCAGATTTTAATGTAGATTAACTAACAGTCTTTGGGAGTTTTCGATAAAAGCTTTAGTTTTTTGTGCATTCTCAAGTAAAATAGTAGATGAAAACTTGCTTATTCAATTAACGAAATGAATAAAATGAAACAACACAGTTAAAACATATGAATGTAACAACATAAAAATTTTAAACGATCGACTGGACTCTTACCCAAAGATCCATTTTAAACCACAATTTTTCTTACACGCTGGCCGTGAAGAACTTTTGACGATTGAGGTGATGATTGAGGTAGAGTCATGTGCCGAGATGTAGCCGCATCAAGACATTTTTCGAACTCTTGAACATATAGTAGCTTCTGAGCAGCATAGCGAGTAGAACATCGTGAAATAAAAGCCTAAATCTTAAACATTCACTAAACTTTTAGCTTTTAGGTTTAGGTCACTTTTAGGTTACTAAGCTATTACCTTAAACAAGTAGAACTTCTTTACAAACGATATTGTGTCAAAAGTACCTGTGATTGTCGCTAGGCACGTTGAATCACTTGCAACGATCCTTCTATTCCTTCAGGCAACGTTCTTTTATCTGAAAAACACAAAATTAAGTACCAAGAACAGTACAAACAAGAAAAAAAACGATGAAAAACAAAATGTGCCGCATTATTTATTTAAAATGGGCCATAAAACACGATTCTGGTGATGAAATAATCCGTCGATTTGTCAAAACGCGCGCAAGGTGCTTAAAAATAGCAAAAGCTACAAGTTGTTATGAGAAGTATAAAAACATTATGGTTGAAAAATCTAATCGCGGTCTCTTTCCATTTGGCGCTATTTTTGTATGGGCGCTGTTTTGAACGGGGCTATTTTGGCGGCGCTATTTTGACTAGGTCCCGAATATTGTTGCTGAATGCAAAAAAAAACAAAACTGCAAACCATTTAAAAGCAAATAAACGGATTCTTCGAAGGTTAGTGTGAATCAAAAACTCAAGCAAATATAAAGCTAGTTCTAAAATTCTAACGGCTTGATAAGATATTTTTGGCTCCTTTTCAGCTTGAATCAACATTGAACAACCGGAGAGACAAAGAGCCCAACAAAAAGACAAAGCTAATATAAAGCTAGTTCTAAAATTCATTCTAGCGGTTTGATAAGATATTTTTGGCTCTTTTTCAACTTGAAATGATATTGAACAACCGGAGACAAAGAGCCCAACAAAAAGACAAAGGAGACTAATTTTTTTTTCAAGGCTACGCCCATTATCTTTGCCTCGCGAATTTAGCTTTTCTCTGCAAATCGAACTTTATTTATTCAAACTTTTAAAAAGTACTATATTTCAGGGTTCATTTAGACACAGTAGTACTTTGCATTGGTAAGCTTGCTGGAAGGTTTGCAATGATGGACAAAAGCACAAGAAAGAATGGGGAAATATTGTCACATAAAAGTTAGTTACTTTTAATACCTTGGAAATTTGAAAAAGATTAACATTCATGATTTAGTTATATTAAAATCAAATTTAGTGGTAAAGTCATCCCCTTGTAAAACGATCAAAGCGCAAACAATCTGTTTTTCCAAAGGGTCAGTGAGCCGTTTTTGCATCCACTTTACCCCAGCCAATCAATTTTAAAAATCATTGTTCGTTGTGCTTAGAGATCGACATGAGATTTACAAAACCAACTTTGCTGATTTTTCATCGGTAAAAACCTGTTGGAAAAGAAAGGAATCTGATGGGTGGATGCAAATTGGCCAGTTATGCTCAACACTCAACAAAATTGACGATGAAATTTTGAGAACTCAAGGTATTAGATTGGAAAGAAAGTTCTCGGAAAAAAATTTGACTGGAATTTCTTAAAAACGAATCCACCAATTCAAGAAGATTTTGATTTTTGATCTATGATTTACGAGGTCGACTCTAAGAAATTACCCTTTAAAAAATGAGTGCAGCTTTCCCTTAAAATTTTAGAGATTTTTGAAAAATTATTATTTTCCAGCTTAATTTCAGCTTACTTTTTGCACCATAAAAACGATTTCTTATGAGGTAAAGCTAGCATAAATGAGCAATAAGCTCTATAATCTCTATTTTTGACCAAACATTTCTTACAGAGAAGCTGTATTTCAAAAACTCACTTTTTTGGTGTCATCTTCTCGGCACTGAGTATTTGCTAAATTAGGTGATTCTGAAAAGTGAAAGCATTAGTTAAAATTTGCCTTAATCCCAAATTTTCCCTATTTTAAGTACTTGATTTTAGATTTTAAATGGAACCCATTGCTTACTCACTAACCCATTAAAAACTTGTCTAAAGGCTGGTCACTCAAAAAGTGACCAAGACACTTCAGCTGAAGAAATCTCCTATTTTTTACCAGAAGCCCACTCTGTTTTTTGTCAAAAACTTTTTGAAATATAGTCAAGTTTATCAAAAAATCTGGGAAGAATTCATGGGTTGGTCGGACAGGCAAATTTTTTTTTCAAACTACCTATTAATTTGTAATGTTAGGTTGGCAACTTATAAACGATGGTTTTAGGCAACAACTTGTTTATTTCATAGAACTCAAAAAAAGAACATTAATCCAAAAGGTATTCTCCATTATCATCGATGACTTTTTGCCATCTTTGGCCCAATTCCTTGATACCATTCTCAAAAAACTGAGCGTCCTTCTGAGCAAAGTAGAAATCCAGTGCGTTTTTGACTTGTGCATGATCATCGAAAAGTTTTCCATAGAGGAATTGCTTCAACGGTCGAAACAAATGGTAATCTGAGGGTGCTAGGTCGGGTGAATAAGGTGCATGTGGTAGAAGTTTCCAGCCAAGCTCGTCGAGTTTTTTGTTAGTGACTTTTGCTGTGTGCGGTTTTGCGTTGTCTTGCAAAAAGCGGACCTTCTACGGATTGATTCCCAATTTCTTCAATGAGTCACTAACTCTCATCAACTGCTTTGAGTAGAGATTAGCATTGATGTTATGCAGAGGATTCACCAACTCATAGTACACCAAGCCTCTAGAATTCCACCAGCAACAAAGCATAATCTTCTTCCCATGAATATCGGGTTTTGGGGTAGTTTGAGGAGCTTGACCTGACGATAACCATTGTTTCTTTCGTGTTTTATAATCGAAATAGATCCAAGTTTTGTCAGAAGTTAAAATTGAATTCCAGAAACCTCCAGCTTTGCACTTGTGAAGCAAAAATGTGATGATATTGACACGGATTGTTTTGTTATCTTGGGTCAATTCATAGGGAACCCACATCGATTTTTTTTTCCCGACACGATGCAAATGATTTTCGATTGTTGTATGAAAAACATCTAACATTTCTGCCAATTCTCGTGTAGTGAGTATTGGATCCTCTTCAATTTCTGCCAGCAAATCCAAATCAGCCACTCCTGGATGGTGCCTCTCATGCGGCTCATCCTGGAGACTTTCGTTGCCAATTTGAAAGCGTTGAAACCATTTTCGACATTGACTTTCGCTAATAGTTCTATCTCCAAAAGCGGAAATAATTGTACGATGAGATTCAGCGGCTGATTTTCCTTGTTTAAAATCGTAGAGCATAGCTGCGTGAATAAGAAATTTTTCGTCCTCCATTTTTTTCAGGGAAATAGGGGCTCAGAAATTTGAAAGGGGTGTTATGTTTACCCTAAAATATTTTAGTTTGTTTGCAGAAAAAAACCCCGTGAAAAATCTTTTTGAATTCTAAGAAATCATTGAACAAAGCCAGCGATCGTTTATAACTTGCCAACCAAATAGATAGTTTGGCGTGGAAAATCAATAATTGTGACTAAAACAGCTAAATTTAAACAGTTTCTTGCTAAACTTGTTACTCAAATACGAAATTAAATCGAAAAAACCATTAAGAATCGATTGATCTACGTTGGGAAAGACCAGTCATCCTTGGTGGCTATGGTCAAATCTCGACAATTGAGATGAGATATCGGTAATAATATTTCAACATGTATCTTGTATTCAACTAAATACAAGTTTAGCGGACTACCTAACCAACAATTCATTGCAAAGAATGCCCGCGAGGGACGACTCCTGTACGAGCTCAGAGATGAATGGAAGTGGCTCAAAAGATCACCCATGATAACATCATTAAATATATTGGCTTTATCGAATTTCAACAAAACAGTCTACTACCTGAATTAGTTCTGATTTTGGAAAAATGTTGTGACGAAAATCTGAAAGAACGTACGTTTTTAGATGCTTTTTGTAAAAAGCTCCTTCAATGAAAACTCGATTCAGTGATCAGCAATGCAAAAAGAATTTACTCGATGTATACGGTGGTTTGCTGGGCAAAACAACTTTTCTCAGCACTCGATTATCTACACGAGGAGAGACTCATTCATGGAGATATCAAAACCAAAAAGTATAAATTATAAATTATACTGTTATCGAAAGCTTACTTCTTTCAAAAAAAATGATTTACTGTTTCTCAAATACTTTCAGCATTCTCCTAACTGAAAGAAAAGATCGCAAAAATGTTTACGACGTCAAACTGTGCGACTTTGGAGTCACAGTAAACAAAAAAGAGAGTGTAACATTTTTAGTGCGAACTTGGGAAGATTTTCAGAAAGGAACCCTTCTCTATATGAGTCCTGAAGCCTTTGACTGTTTGGTGAGTGATACATAATCAGTAAAATATTCAAAGAACCGGTCTCTATTTTAGTTTAAACTCTAAAGTATGTGATAAACTCAAAACTCAAAATTCAACATAGGTTTGCCATCGTAGCGATATTTTTTGTCTCGGTTTGGTGCTCTGGGAAATGATTGAAAGAAGGTGAGCTCATAATGAAGATCCATCAACAAGCCATATAGGAACTCGTATTTGGATGAAAAGAAAAAGCAACGAGAACCACCAATCGTTTGTTGTATCGACAACGAAAAACTTCGAAAACTGATCTTTGAGTAAGTTCGTTGCATCTCGATCATTGCAATCAATATTTCACAGTTGCACAAGGATTTCCTACAAGGAACGAGTGAAAGATGCTAAATTTGTTCTGCAGAAGTTAGAACCAATGTTAGAGGCAATTTTTGAGCTGTGATTTTGTACCCAAAAACTCTAGGACTATGAAACTCGGTTGAACTTGAGTGCGGAGGTGAAAACTGAAGAAAGCGAGACAATCCTTCGCCCACCGATTGGCTTTGATGGGGAAAGAGTGAAAGGAGAATATCCGAGGGTATCTTGTTCAACTATTTAGAGCAACTATTTGTAAATTTGGAAACTAGACTAAAGTTAACAGTATGGTTGTCCCTTTGGACACATCAGTTCAGCGCGTTTTCTTAAATATGTCCATTTTCAAAAGCTATCGTAATCTTGCCTAGAGTGCGTGCCTTCCAAACAAATAATTGTTTGAAGAAATTTAGCCAAACACAATTTTTTGTTTAAACAATAGGTCAAACAAAGATCATACAAGGAGTTCTAAAAAACGCTCTAAATTTTGACACAAAATTGCGATAGATCTACCGTATTTTCTCTAATAGTAGTACACCCTGAGTGTTGCCTAAATTGCTCGAAATCTCGAAAAGCGCTTATCAGAACCTATCGATGTGGGGTCGGAAAATGTAGCTGACGATGAGATCTTGTGGGGGGATTAGAGTGTTGAGCTTCTGCGAAAACTTAGAAACCGTAAAATAGACATCAACTCGGCTTGGCGGGGTGCACTACTATTAGAGAAAATACGGTAATTTTCGTTTTGTATCTAACTTTCCCCAGGTAAGATATTCAGCTAAACGAATAACTTTATCGCTATTAGTGCATTTAAGAACGCCTTGTTTGCGAGGCACGCACTTTGCATCTTGCCTCTAGTTTCATTCAATCTGTCTATTTTGGACTCGAGTCAGATCAAAATACCAAATAGACTGACCAAAATGGCGGCAATATTATGGTAGTTTTCGAAGTTGACATCTTTTAGAAAACACTTACCGTAAATGCTGTAATAGAGCGTCACCTAGTCTAAGTTTACTCCCAAACGAATGCTCATATCTCGGCGCCCAGACGTTTGTTGCTTCGCGCATAGACATCAAATTAAAGTAGAGAGGATGGGTAGTTATTTGAGATATAACACATATTTTTAGCATTAACCAGTGCTTAGAAAAAAAATGATTGAAAAGTGGCAAAAAAAAGCCGATTTTTCAATCATTTTTTCTAAGTGCTGGTTAATGCTAAAAATATGTGTTATAGCTCAAAAAATTTCCCTATCTTTCTACTTTGCTTTGATATCTAAGCGCGAAGAAACAAACGTCTGGGCGCTGAGGTATGAACATTCGTTTGGGAGTAAAATTAGACTACGCGACGCTCTATTACAGCATTTACGGTATTTAGGCATCAGCCTACAAATGCATCTAGGATGACTTGGATGATTTGCTGTCGCTGCACGACTTTGAAAACAATGATCAACCTACAAATTATTATCGTAAACTTCTGCAAAAGAACTTTAATGAACGGAAAATTGAACGGAAAAACCAAGATACCGACTCTATCCATAGGGAGCTAGCTGAGTTTTACTCGACTCGCTATCACGAAATTGAGCATGATTTAAGCAAAATTACTGAAAAACCAAGTGAGACGATTGACGATATCTTCAAAAAAGTTTTGCTCTCCGATTTTGCTGAACAGGCCAAGCATTTTAATGAGAGCTTTATGATGTTGCTCGAAGCTGTGAAATTCGAAAATCCGAAAAACCGAAGCTTTAAAAATCTCTCTCCACTGGATCATCTGGAAACTGGTTGTTGGGATCTTTTGGAGTTGATAGTCATCAAATTAGAGCTTTTAGACGAATTTCAAGAAAAATTTTACTGTACAAAGTTTAAGATGTACTCGTACCACATTCAGACAAGCTCAGGAGAAAAGACGTGCTTTCTGCTTAGCAAATGCCTCACTGGCGGACTATTTTTCCATTTAATGGGCGATCAAAAAGTTTTGCTTTATTTGAAAGGCACGTGGTTCGAAGAAATGTTCCTTATTGGCATCCAAGAATATCCGAGGAGCGTCATTCAAAGCCCACCAATTTCTTGCACAGACGTCGTGAAATGGTTAACGCGGGAAAGGAACAAACTCGCCGATATGGCCGAGTACTATTATAACAATTTACGCAAAAGTAAACCGTCTAAGATTGATGAATACATATTTCAGCTGAGAAGACCACCAAATCATTCGCCAAGTTGCACGGAAGTTGAAAAGAGCGAGAGCTTCATTCCAGAAGCAGGATTTCCAAAAGATGTCGAATGGGAGCATCGAATAGGTCGATGTAAATGCGTTAACAATTGCGAAAAACATAAGAATCAGCTTGAAGTTTATACAAAAATTTGTAAGTTAATGTTCCTTGTGAAAAGGAGGGGAGTTGACGTTTTTAAAGAAGAATACTTGGATCGTAAGCTGAAGATTGATTTCACCGAGCTAGCAAAGGTGGAGCAGCAAGAGGTTCAGTTTTACTTGCATCATCAAAGTCAAAACGAATTTCTGTTGCTTGATCACCCAGATAATTATGACCATGATTTGGGAATCCATTGCATCAATAGAAGTTATTCATTTTCAAGCAAAAACATTGCTCCTCAAGATATAGCTGAAAATCCGCAGAGAATTACCGTGCATGACATTTTTAATGAGAGCCACCTCAACGAAGCTAGTCGATTCTTTGTGAAGTACTAACCTGAAATACTAAATGCCAATTTTTTCCCACTTTCATCGAAATCTGTTGTATTAATGTGTTCGTGTAATAAAATTTTGCAAAATATATCCAAATTTTAGAGATTAAACAACCGATAAAGAGATCAACAACATGCAGATCACAAACAAATCGTTAGTAAAATTTTTAAAAGTGAGAAACAACTGCTTAAATTTCTTATCCACCTCGTTGGCAAAAGTCGGTATCAGATTTGTGCGAGACACTGGCAAGAAGCCTTCATCAGGTGATAGTTTCAGGTAAAACATGTTGTAGATGAACTTTCATTGGTCTTACATTGAATTTACTGGAGTGCATTCGTAAAACCTTGTTCGCAATTCGCATTGTAGAGATCTCGGGGCCAGCTTTCTTCAAAAGACGATAGCGAATGTTATGAGCTTGTAACAATTGTTTATATTAAATCGTAGAAATCGGTATTGAATCTGACAAAACCATGGGATGTCTTCTTAAAAATTAATTGTTCATGTCAACCAGTTCATCATATATTAGGATAAGAAATTTGCCTATGCGTTGTACTTAATATTGCAAGTACTAAAGTCAACTGTACCCAAAACCCACCGCCATACTGTTGTTCATGACAAAGCATCGACAAAGATTTTCACACCTTGAGCCATCGCAATGTACCGCTCTCTAAACAATGATAGATATTTTTCTAGGATAAACAGATAGATAAACAGAACTGGATTCAAGGTCGGGATTTGTATTGTCAACAATGACGGAATTTCCATTCTAAAATTGATGAAAAGTTGAAGAATTTATAAGAAAATTACCTCTGAAGCACATCTCCCTTCTCGAACACACCTTGAACACACACCTTCCAAGTGTATCCCGATTAATCACGTAACTAAACCGAGAAATTCGAGCTATCAAAAATTGAAAAACATACCCATGTTTTTCAGCTAGCATCATCTTGCAGCAGCAAGCAGCAAGGGTGAAAGAACGAGTTTGTGGAAGTTGACCTATTTCGAAAATGGGTGGCTTCACTATTTTAACTCTCGTAGCTTGATAATTGAGTTTTTTTGCCACAAAACTTTGAAATTAAATGCAGCATGAAATTCTACACAAGATTACAAAAAAATTTCATTCTGCATTTAATTGCAAAGTTTTGTGGCAAAAAACTCAATTATCAAGCTACGAGAGTTAAAATAGTGAAGCCACCCATTTTCGAAATAGGTCAACTTCCACGAACTCGTTCCTTAGATAGGAACCATGCCTATCCCTCATTTATAGCTCATTGGATCGTTACTTACATCAGCTACAATTTTCTCCGTCATCCACCATGCTGTTGATTTTTCAGCTTGATTTTTCAAAACCTTTTTCTCCTCTTTGCTTATGGTGGGATCTGTTTAGGTCTAAAAAGCCAGAAAGGGTTTGTTAGGTTTCTAGTTATTGCAAACGCTGTGAAAGAATTTAGCAATTGGATGGATCAAGAAAGGAATTTGAAGCTTGGTTTGGGCCCTTAGTTTTAGAATTAATATACGTGCAAAAAGACTTCCCGTTTTGCGATTTAATGACATTTCTTTCAATATACTCCTCAAATTTACGATAATATTTGAACAGCTTATTCAGTTCCCTACTAACTAGAGGGTCGTTTAAGGGTTTTCAAATAGGAACGACGGAAAAAAATTGGCTAGTCTACTTTTAGCTCTCAAGAAGTGCGGCCGGGTCATTAAAGGAGAATGATTTTAGGAGACTAGCGCAAAAGAGTCATAATCTTTGTCAATAGAATTTGAGGAGGCACAAAAACCTGATCGATTTAGAGAATCTAGTATGCACACCGCCGCTTTGTCGTAATCAAAATCCAAATGCATACGCCGTGAAGATTGCGCCGCAAGCCAAAAACGAAAATTCGCCGGCGCAAAAGAACTTGGGCAAAATTCGGCAGCGCAATTTTCGGTTTTGGCTTACAGCGCAACCGTGATGGACCCACAAAAGCGTCTTTTGCGCAACATCATTTGCGCATTTGCGCAAATATTTTAAATTTGTTAAAATTAAAATTTTGGTTTTTGTCGTTTACAAAGCCTGAAGACCGTACAGCGATCAACGATAAAGAGATCACAAATGGCCTTCACTTTCATCCCTCCTTGACGGGCTTTGACAATGTTTGATAATGTCGAAGCGTCCAGATATCGCTCGCAAGGCATCTGAAAAAAATAAATTAATGCGCAAAAAACAAAGTCAGAAAAGAAAAAGAAAAAGTTTACAACAGAATACAACGATGGTGTAAGACTTTTTTTTGCGCTTTAAACCGGGTGTCTCTAATAAAACTTATTTTTTACGCCAAAATAAATAACTTGCAATAAAAATGAATAATATTTTCGGAAACTAGACCACAATGGTAAAATTAGTTGCCAACAAGTTTTCTTCGAAACGCTTATTTTTGTGAAAATTTTTTGTTTGAAGCCTTTGGGAGACAATGGTGCAAGCCTTTTTTGCTGACTGTAATAATTGAATCGGCACTACTTTTGCATGTTTTTATAGTTTTGGAACTGTTTCAGTAGCTTTTAAAACTTATTGCACCTAGAGCACTAAACGCTTTAAAAACCAAGAGATTTTCAAACCATGATCTACGAAAATTTTAGAGCTCAAGAAACTCAGGCTCAAGCTCAATGAGTTGCCAATCAAAATGTCTGAATCAAAGTGAAAAGCTTAGAAAAGATATTTTCTACAGTCAAAGCTCTTGTGAGAATGTTTTATGCGGTTGTGTGATTGATTTCTTTGTCCGCATCGGGTTCATTGTGTTAATCGCGACGATTGCTGGTGATTGAGAAAACATCAAGTTTTCAACGTTTATGAATTCAATTTGTGCTACGTTGCTGTGATCAATAGTTTTTGATTCATAAAAGCACAAAAATTTCAACAATTATCTAGTCAACAGGGTTATTTTAAAAAAAGGCAAAAGTAGAAAGCTTTCTTAGCAAAATTGTCTCGTGAACTATTGATCCAACTATAATCAAAAGTTGATGAAACACTTTTTAACAAAAGATCATGAATTCAAAACTTTCAGAGTGACAAGATTGTGATAAAAACGATCAAAAAGAGCGACATAAATTGGAAACAATTTCTTAGCAATAATATCATTGGATTGAAATCAAGATCTGACAATAATCGTGAGTCAAAAACAATATCTCTTTACATAATTGAGCAATTCCTCCGTCGTGATGGCGGAGGTCGGTTACGGATGGCGGCCATTTCGGCCTCGTGTGCCTGTCGCTGGCGTTCCATTACCTCTTGTTGCATCTGGAAATGAGATTTAAAGTGAGGATTGTATTTTATGGGAAAAACTACCGCAGAGAGGCTAAGCAGATGAGTTTAAAAGCTATTTCGTCGAAGAAGCTTACCCTAGCCAATTAGATCAAACTCGGCCGGATCAGGCTAGACCCGGGCCAGTCTCAAGACACCCCTCTGACCGGGTCAGGTAGCTATAAAAGAACTTCTTTCGGGCAGACCAAATGTGTTCGTGGTCAGCGGGTAGAGTCCCCGCCTCATATTTTCGCGACCATGGTTCGGTCCCGGCCAGCGCCCAAACTAGTATCAGCCTAGTCGAAGACTCGACTAATTTTAAGTCCAGGACCAGGGCCGAGTCATGATGCTAGTCTGCTGACTAGTTGTTGACAATCGACAATCTGAGTTGACAAGCCGACCAGACAAGTCAAGCCAGACAAGCTGGAACAAACCGGCATTTATCTCCGGTCCGGGTCTAGTTTTGCCAACCGTTCTTGGGTCAGTTTCCCATCCTCATAAAGTCTAAAAGCACTAAAATAGCCTCTCAAATGCCCCTCACCCTCATGTCTTCGCGTCTCTCCTGGTCTCGAACTTCGTCGCGACGAGCGTGCTCTTGTTGTTCCTGGAAATCACGCTTTAGTTGTGTACGTAAACAAATTTCAAATTTAAAGAATTAGCTTAGCTTTTCCTCACCATTCTCATCATTTCCATGTCTGTCTCGTAACGTCTCTCCATTTCTTGACGATCTCTTTCCTCGCGAGCGATTCGCTCGGCCCTTTCATGCCGCATTTGCTCCATTTGGCTAAAAAGTACAACTTTGGTTGAAAAACTACATTTACAATGAAAGTATTGTATGTTAAGATAGCTTTTAGAATCAAGATTTCTTAGCTAAGCTTATAGTAAGAAAAGTTTTGACTAGAATTCTGACTAAAAGGATAAAGATGGCTTTTATGAAATTAAGGCTTTAGGGTTCTTGATTCTTTAGTGGATTTTTATTACTTACACTTGTGAATTCTCGTTCATCGCTTTCATCATCGCCAATAATCCCTGTAAGTTTGAAGCGCCACTCTCGGCCTCGACACGGAGTCGACGCTCTTCCACTAAAATAGAAATGGGTCGCTTTTTTGTCTAACAATTAGATACAGTTCTTGAAATGGCATTTAAATTTTAATGACTTTAATGAGTTGAGTTTGGAAGGCATAGTTACTAATTTATATTTCCCAGTATACCGGAACTTTAAGAATTCAGCGCTAAGATTGAAAATTCGAATTCTATTGCAGATACTTTTCCCCATGTCAAATATGACTTCAAAACAACGAACCCAATTGCTCGTTCATCTCTCCAATTTGAGCATTCGTTTCCTCTTCAAGCGATTCCAATCTTTTCTTGTCTTCAGCTTGTTTAAAATGGAGATCCTCCATTTGTTTGTTGAGCCGGCCGACTTTCAAATTGTGGCGAACCTCCATCTCGAAGCTGTCCTCGCATTTCTAAAACACAAGGTTCATCTAGAGTTCTCCGTCCTAACTGTTTTCTAAAATATGCCAATTTTTATAAGACTCTCGTAGTCTTGCCTCCAGTTTCCTCACATCTAACTTTAAGTGATTCCACCTTGAATTGCGCCAATTGACTGTCCCTGAAGTTGTCTAACAGACGCTCGACCATTTCGGGCGAGATCTTGGGCAAAGCGGTCGCCACATCGGCAACGAATTCAGCCTGAATATGAATAGAGCTATACAAAGTTTAGATTTCATAGAGTTTTCAAGCTATCAGCTTCTCTAAAGTCACCCTTTTGATCCCGTACTTTCCCCGGAGTAGATTCTGACAGGCATCGATCGCCTCTTCGATCTGAGACTCGTCTTGGATTGTGGCGACTTGCTGAAAGCTCAAATTTCTGAAGGGCTTTAAGATCAAGTTGTCTCAAATTCGCGTAAGGCCAGAAGCCAGGTCTAGGATTGGCAAGGCCCAAGCCAGGAGCCAGAACCGGGTCAACGATAGGCCAGAAGCCAAGCCTAGAGCTGACTGGCTTGGCTCTAGGTCTAATAGTAGGAAATTCTAGAAGCTGGATGCACACGAATTTTTGTATCAAAGCCTAGTCACTTACTTCTTTCAACGCTTTCCAATGCTCTTCGACCAATCCTTGGAACATCTCGTCAACCTGTTGGTGAAGGTGCTGAATGGCGTTGTCTTGTTGCAAGTCCTCATATCGAGCCTGAAACTTGGGGTTTGGATAAAGTTAGCATGTCAATCTTTAGAAGCTTTCTTAGCTGAATACCAGATAGTCGAAGTACTGGGGGTTTTTCAGTAATCACCTGAATCATCTCGTTAAGCAAGTTGCGTTTGTACTCGATCAGATCGGGCTCATCGAGAAAGTCTTGGACAACTAAAAATTGCAGTTTAATTCCTGAGCTTAGTTACTGTGGATACCTACAGTATTGCCTAATGCAGTTTTTTAAACTCAAATGTAATTCCAACACCAACCATTTTCAAAATGCTTCATCGCTTCGGGGAAAGCTTTCTTGTGGCGGTCTCTCACAAACTCAGCTTTCTTGTTCTTCTCCAAACTCTCGACAAAATCAGGCTAAACTATCTAGTGTATTTTGTGTTCAAAATTTCGAAATACACCCTTTCTGGTGCATTGTAGTTTGAAAGTTTTCTCACCCTCATTCCTTTCTCGTACACTTCGTAAGCTCCATTGACTGCCTCGGCCATTTGAATGTCCCTATAGCGATCCTTGTTGCTCGAGATCTTTTCCTGGCATCTTTCCTGAAAATTAGAAGTTGTACTTCATAAGAGAATTTGAGTTTTATAACGACCTACTGAAAGAAATCTAACCTCAAGCAGCTTTCGGAAGTCGTCAAAATGCTTGCTCTTCTCTTCAGCCGATCCGAAAAGCTGACTCGATTTATAGGCCTGAACGGATAGAAAGTACGTTGAAGTTTTTTAGTTCCTTCTTATTTGAAATCAAAAAAGTACTCAAACTCTGGCCAGACTTACTGTCGACCAAGCTGAGCCAAACCTGTAGACTTGGCTGGTGACCTGTCCTTTTGGCTTACAGAAGTAATAAAGCCTACCAGGTCTGTTCTCTGTCCTGGCTTTGGTTTTTCTTTGTTTGGTCTAATCTAGTTTTCAGACCCTGGAGTCCGGAAAATTCCTTTTTACCTCAATGGCTTGTTGGATGAAATTCTGCAAGGCCTCCTCATAGTCTCGGGGTCGAATCGGGCGATGACCATGCTCGCGAACAAGCTAAAGCTTCAGTAAGTGCAAAAACATACTAGTAATTTTGATATACTCCTAAAAAACAATTGTAACTATTTCAGATCCATAAAAGTTTTTAAATGGTACCATTTCATGGAGGCTCGCAAAAGTCTCATTCCCAGCGACGCGAGCCTTCTCAAAGAAGAGTTGTGAAGTGGCCTGAAAGACTAAATCACTGAAAACAGAAAAATCTCACCGCGAAGGCCGAGCAAATAGCCTTGTGACTGTTTGAGTGAATGTGATCGACGAGATTCTAAAGGTTTTGCTGATGATCTAGTCTTTAAAAAGAGTTGATAACAGATTCTCAACAAATAACAGATTGGGATTTGCTAGTAGATGTGGTCACATCGATTTTGTACCTCCACATATGCTCCCAAAGTTCTCCCAGTCAGTGGGGTACCCATCACTATTTTTGGGACCAAATTTTCCAGCACATGATTGGCGCACTCGCAGAGCATCGACAAGAAATCGTCGCCACAATCTGAAAACGATTCTTGAGGTGTACACTTCTTGGGTTACTAAGATGCTTAACTGTGTCTTCGGGCAGGGATAAATTAGCTAGGGCATGGCAAGCCAGACTAGGCAATAGACAATAGACTAGACTAGTCACCCAAATCTCGTAAAAATTGATGAGAGTTTCAAAAAGGCAAAACAAGTCAGGAAGAGATTTGCCTCAAGTCTGGATCTTCGATTCAAGAGTTTGAGCCCGGTTCACTGTTTATTTCCGATTCATGGGGCGAATACAACTCTGAGCAAATCAAACGGGCTTCAACCACGAGAAGGTCAACCATGGCTTTAATTTCTTGAACTCAGACAATCCGAACATTCACACACAATCTTGTCTTTTTTGTAAGAAGCAAGTAAGAAGACAATAAATGCAAAGTTGCGATGGGTATAAATTTATTTCGGTGACGCGGTTGGTAAAAGTAAGTATCAAAATTTTGATTAGCTGAATATCTTTAACTTTTCCATTAATTTTCCATTAATTCCCGATAAGCCATTAGCGAGATTCCCGCTTAACAAGTCTACTAGTCCGGTCTGTTCAGAAATCAGGTTTGAAACCAGGTCTTATGGTAGGCCCAACTCATGGTTTAGGTCTACAAGTAATGCCAGAAATTCCATAGAGCTAGCTTTGGGCTATTTCTAGTTCCACACGCAGTTAGTTTCATGTTTTTAGACTCTTCAACCCTTCTACCACACCAGAGCTATGAAACATAAACCCAATTTTACTATATAAGTTTAAAGCCTATCAGTCTGGAACAATAAAACCCCACCTTTAGCCAAAATCTCCCCGGATGCGTTGATCACTTCATTGGATGGTCGGGGCACCATACAGCATTCCACTTTCTCGAACGCTTCAAAGACTCCATTGAGGAGGCGGGCAAGTTCGGGGACGCTGCGAGTGTTCACCTGAATAGTTTTGCGGAAGTGGTACTAGGGTACAATAAAACATCCAGTAGTACTGTAATAAAATAGTATAGCTTTTTCCTTACCCTCATTTGCTCCAGGTATTCAGGGTCAAAGCCGGAGGCGATCGAGTCGCGAACCATGATCAGAAAGTGCTGAAAGAAGAGAGTTATGTGCAAAAAGGCTATCATGTACCAGTAGTACTGTATTGTCTACGGTATGCCACACTGGCTACAGGAAACCAGCAGTGTGCAAGACTGACTGGCTACAAGCTGATTACAGGATGCCAGACTGACTACAGGATCGCTACAATATCCCAGGCGATTACAGTATTTCTACAGTATTCCAGGCTAGTACAATATCACTACAGTGTGCTCACAGTCTGCCAGGCCGACTATAACATTGCTACAGTATTTCCACTGTACCCAAAGCTTTCACAAACCTGTCCCACTCTCTCCTCCGCCCTCTGACTGAAAGCAATGAACATGTTCAACGCGTCCAAATCCTGTGCATCAATTTGACGCATTGTATTGAAGATCTAAATCGCTAGAATTTGGATTAGAAAATCCCGTACCTTAATCGACGACATTAATAGCGAGATGGCGAAAATGATGGCCGAGTCGGCAATGTTGCTGGAAGTGTCAAATGTGCCCTGGGTGTCCATTAGGATGACGGCTAGCTGGAAAAGCATTGAATGCGAACTACGTTATGTAATAAAATACAGTGTTTAGCCCTACAAGCTACAGTGTAATTACAGTAAACCAGGCAGCTTACAGTAGTGCTATGGTATCACTACAGTATACCAAGAACAGTAGGCCAGGCTGACTACAGTATTACTAAAGACTGACTATAGTATGCACACAGGTTTACCATAGTTAGAAGACTATGTCTTAGAAATCCTCACTTCATTCCCATCTTTATCTTGTCGATCGAAGACTTTTGGCCAAACCATAATTCCTTTGGTGTGACGCTTGAAGCCGCGTTGAAATTCGATTCGACCGCGTCCCCTGGAAAATTGGATTTGGCAATAGTTTGATTCTTAAATACAGTCGGGGACTAAAGTCTTTGAATTATATGATCTTTGAAAACCAAACCCGACAAAATCCTCCGGATCAAAACCGGCTCTTCCCCTCTGCAATCCATTTAAGAGCACATTATTCCAGAAGGTTTTTCCTTGCCGAAATTTCCCAGCGGTTGAAATCACCGATACCTGGCGATAAGTTAAGAATTTAGAGAAAATCTTTCTACCGATCGATTGCCACATTGAGCGCAAAGTGAGTCGAGCACTTCCTTGTTGAAATACGTTTTCCCGTCTTCGGTGATGTCGAAGAGTTGCAGCAATCTGAGCTCCGGCTGAATTTTGTAACTTGAATGGACTAAAGCCTTTGAATTCTGAGTCAAAGTACTACCAAAGTACTAGCGGTTTAGTCTTTGACTTTACCTCTTCCTCATTTCCATATGATCCAAGCGGGGGAGGAGTTGTTGTTGGGGTGTATTGGACAGAAGGGGCTTCTCGTTGTTGTTCTCCTTTTGTCTCTCTCTTCACCAACTCGGTGACACTCGGGGTTTTCTGGAAATAATTGTATTAGGAGAGCCAGTGTATTGTGATCAGTTCTTAAAAAAATAGCTTTATCTTTAGAATGGAGAATTCAACACTCACATCCCGGTTAAACTTGGCTTCAACGAGGCGCAGCGATCGCTCACAGTCCGGCCGTTTCTTGATTTCTTCGAAGAGCTTCTGAATCAAAATATTTGATTTATCTGATAGTACAGATAAAATACAGATATATAGATTTTATCTTTCAAGGTTTAAACCTTTCTCGCGTGCTCTTTCCCAACGGTGATCATCGTCTGGTCGGCTCCATCGTAGTGCTCAATGTACTAAAATTTCACGATATCAAGAATGTACTAAAACCTACTGCAAACTGTTAGGCTACTGTAAATCTATCCAATCTATTAAAATGTATTCTATCGATCAATCTATTAGCCAATCTATCGACCATCTATTCGACTTGAGCATTTTGTCTCTTTATACATTCGCGATGACGGTATTTTGGGCATACAGTCGCGTAGGCGTTAACTGTTAACTGTTTTACTGATAATTTGGTAAAACTTCAAAGATAAACCAAACTATTATAGTCATTTGATAGCCTTGAGTCTCCTTTTGAAAACTAGTACAAAGTCTTTCACCCAAATTCATTTTCTAATTGAATGAGTCTCAAGCTAAATGAAATACGGTTTTTCACTAGATAGTCCAATGATTTCTCTTTCAAATGACTTTTGAAACTTTCTGAAAAGCTTTATTTTGAAGATTTATGATTAGAAAGAAGCCGAATGTTCAAAAAAAGGCCCGATGATGCGATTTTGACAGTTTTTACTAATGAAACCTATTTTAATGACAAAATAAAAAAAATAGCTAAAAAGATAGATAAAAAGTTAAATCTACAAAGAATTTGAGAATAATTCGTTTAGCGGTTTAGCTTTATGTGCTTATTTTTCATTATTAGTACATCATTAGTACTGATGAGCCTTATCGTCGTGAATGTGTTAAAAGCTGTTGTGATTGTCATTCTTTGGGCATACTTTGCGCTCACTTTTAAACATTTATGTTCTGGTGTACTAATTGAGTATCAAAGTAGTAGAACAATTATATTGAAGAATAATTACTCACCGAGACGTTGTTCAAGTAGAGCTGGTAGAGGTCATCGACAGCCTCCTCGGTGGTTGATTGTGGCTGAAATTTGGTATTAAAAAGAAAAGCGAAAAATAAATAGTTTATATAGCTTTTTAAGTCTAGATTCTATTTAAAAAGTTTGATTCTTTTGCTAAAGTCGGCACTTTTTACCTCGGGAATCGTCATGGCTGATGTTGTTCTCGAAAAAATTCTCTGAATTTTGAGAGAAATTAAGTCAGCTTTTATTTGAGGCAAGATTATGCGTGAGAGAAGCTTGAAGCCCAGAGACGTGCAAGGGTAAAATTCCAGCTAGCTTATCAAAATATCAATAAAAATTGTTCAAAAAATTTCTAAAAACATTATTAATATATTCATCATGTTTGACTACCTCAAAACAATGAAAATTTGCGCACGAAAATAAAGAAAAAAGATAATTTTTCAAATTTCAAACAAATTTAGGGTTTTTAGCCAAAAAAAAAACAATGAAAAACGCAAAAGAGATTTGCAAATAAAAATTCTCTTGCTCGATCTTTTTCTGTTTTGTTCTGCTTTAAACTTTCGCATAATTTTTTCCCAAAGATCTAAAGTCGAAAAGTGTGATCAAGGCGATTTTCGCCAAAAACTGATAAAAGCATTAGACACAAAAGGAATCTGCAAAATGATTGAACCATTTCTGGACTCTGATCTCGGGTTAGAATTAAAAAAGTCAACAAAAAAGAGCTAATCTGTTTGCAACGCAGAATTTTGAAAGTTTCAACTAAAACAATGACAAAGCGACAATGTTGTAAAGTTTTTAGTTCAAAAAGAGCAAGTCTATCCTCATAAATCAAACTAGAATATTTAGAATAGTCAATTTTGAAGCTGACTGAGTGGTGGTCAGCGTCCGGGAGAGACGGCAACCTTTGCAGATCGATTACGTCGTCTGGACAGTCACAAATCACCTAAAAACTCAGCAGAATTTAAAAACGTCGGTTAAAAAGAGAAGCTGTGTCTGCTAAAATTACATCAGGAGGGCAATAAATAATACGCTAACCATTACGCTACAGCTTGGTTTCCCTTGCTCGAGATGGAGTAAACTAGGCCAGTCCCACCGCTTGTCTTTCCATAGAAGCTTTCGGTTTTAAACTTTAAACTTTAAAGTCCATAAACGCATGCCATCTGGCACGTTAAATTAAAAAGAATTTGGAAAAATGATTGCTAAATTAATTAGAATTTAGAAAAATTAAAGTTTCAAAGCTTAAAACTAGCCTATTTTTTTCGTTATCTTTTTTTTGTTCTCAATTTTCTTCTGTCACAAAATTCCGCCCAAAGCCGATCTCGCGAAACTTTTTTCGATCATAAACACCAAAAATTTTTTGACTTTTTCAAGATAACATTTTTTTGTAAACATTTTAAACTTATAAAACTTGTAAAACATTTTTTTTCTTTTATTGGAAGAGAAATGGTCGACGATGAAGTGATTAGGCGAGGAGTTGACGAGGTTGGAGTTGACGCGTTTGAATTTGAATTCTTGCTTGTACAACTCTATATTAGTTCATAAATAGCAGTTTTGCTAGTTTTTTACAAATTTAGCCTTATCATAGGCTATTTCGATTTTGACCTAATCAGGCTTGTTTCAAAAGTCAGCCAGGACCGCCAGGTCACCAGGCATATCGGCTCAAAATTAGAAAGTTTAATCTCGATCTATCCAGCTTTAGGTTGAGCTCTTAGCTTTAACTTTCTCTAATCGGTCTAGCTTTGACTTGGCTTAACCTAGCTTTAGTTTAACCTCAAAACTTGGATCCAGGCAAAACCTAACCAAAACTACAGCCAAGAGCCAAGAGATTAGCAAGGCAGTAAGTAAGTAGTGATGATCGTTATCTATGATAAAATTTTTACTTAACTTTTGATTCAATCTAGGAAAACTCGTTGATCCCGTTGGTGACCTTTGATGAGAATCGGATCAACTTCCACGAGACAGTAGCTCGAGAAACGTTTGCCAATGAGAGATATCGAGGGGTAAAGGTGGGTTAATTTAAAAATTGGACCATCATTTATAAAAGAATACGTTGTACATGGCACTAGCCAATCAAATGCTTTGTCACAAATTTTAAATTTCACTTTCAGATTACTTTCGTCAGTGTGATGGGCCCATCGAGATCGGGGAAGAGTTTTCTTATGTCCGTGCTCACAAATGGAGTCAATGGCGACAAAATACAGTAAGTTTAGCGGATAAGATTATAGGTAAAAGCTAAATTAGTTCTTTATCCCTTTATTGCAGTGGTGCTTTCCAATCGGGTCTTCAGCGTTTCACCGAGGGAATCCACATCTTCACGAGACCGATTTTCATCAATGAGACGGTTGGTACTGAGAAATTACTGTGACAATCATGTTTTACAAGCAAACAAAAATTATAAAGCCGTTACCGTAAACCTAAGCCCTTTAAAGTCAAAAAGCTTTCAGCATGCCGTCTTTTTCCTCGACACTCAGGGCACTTTCGACATGCAAACAGAGAGGACAATCTCGGCATGGATCGCTGGCTTTTCACTTCTTTTCTCAGACATACAGGTTAAACTTTTGACAAGCGAACCTCTTGTAAGTCACTTACACAATTGTTGCACAATTGGTTAGCCTTTATTAAAAACTAGTTTTTTAAAAAGATTGATCGACATAAACACATTTTTATCCGCAATTCAACCATTAACAACATTAATAAAATTAGTTAGCAACTGTCTGAATTTCAAGCTACAACAAACAAACTAAATGAAAAACAAAGTCAAACAACAATCAACTTAAACAAAAGCTCTTTTTACTACGCACATAATGCATGCTACTAAAAGCGTCATTCTGAAATTGAAAAGGGCCAAAACAAGAAACAAAAATATCACTTGTTAGTACAACTTCTTGCATGGTGACATCTCGAGTTGCAAAGTAGCCTCTTCTTTCGACAAGCACATCAATTTGTCGTACATCCGCTCAGGCATAAGCAATGAGCGTGACCTAAAATTATAATATTTTAGCTGAGGTAAAAACATTTGAATTTGTAAAAAGAAAAAAGAAAGATTATAAGTGCAAATAAATGTGCTTACCTTGGCTCCCGGAGATCGATGCTGCCCCAACAGCAGTTCTCAACGACGTCTCTCCGTCCGGAATTGAATTGCTTGAGTAGAATTCAGCTCCACATGGAGCCAGTTGATTCCTAGTCAATCTTTGCCGATGCCCATTTTGTGTCCCCATCGAGTAAAAACCATCAGTTACAACTAGAATTTCTTTTTACATTTAGAAATAAATTTAAGAGTACCTGTGACGACTCCCATCAAATTTCGTGGTCCAATCTTGGGTCGATCGGTGAAGCTTATAGGTCGTAGATCGGTGTAACGAGTAGAATTATCTTCCTAAAGTTGCTAATAAAGAAAAAAAATCAAGATTTAAATTAACCTGAAGCGTTTTCTCCTCCTCCTCGTAGGCACTTGTTTGCTGGATTCCGTCGTCATCTGACAAAACCTAAACCACACAGTTTACTTCAAATATTCCAGACCTACAAATATTTCAAACCTTACTTCTTCCTTAGCATTTTCAGGGTCTTGTCCAAACATTGCAACATATGGGCTACGTCCAATACCGCAATGAAATCTATCGACAAAATTTAAATTTCTAAAAAAAACTAAAGTTACCTGATGTTTTTACGATATTTAATCAAGGGCAAAAATCGGGCCCACCCGGTAGTTTTTGTTTCTCTTTGCTGAACGCTCAAGATATCCTAAACGATCACAAGTATTTTTATGAGCAGCCAAACTAACCTCGATATCCGCGTTTGCTCGCTCTACACTTCCTTGTGACTGCGAATGGCGCGGTTTCCCGTGAACGATCTTGCAACCAGGCCATTGAGCGACGGCTTCTTCCAAGAGTTTATTTGCAAACTTTCTGCCATTGTCTAAAAGCAAAAATAAAAAAAGATGTATTTTACCCACCCTATAGCCCCATCAAAAAATGCAAAAATGCAATACATTTTATGAAAAATTCCGATTTATTTTCTTAAAATAGCTTACCTGTCTGAAGAATTTGTGGAACACCAAAGGTTCCAAAAATCGATACGATGTTGTCAACTACTTCTTTTGCCGTTTTTGTCTTCAGAGCCCTCAACGAGACGAATTTTGTGAGGTGATCCTAAAATAAGAAGTATTAACATAAATAAACAAGGCTAAACATGAAAAACAAAAAAAATAATCTAACTGGTAAACAAAAATAAACTTGTAGTCGCCATCTGGAGCACCTTGCATGTCGATCAAATCAACTTGACACCGCTGATTTTGGTGGTTAGAAATGATTGGCTTCACAACTATTCCTTTCTTTGGAAGCTTCTTTTTCAATTGACATTCCTCGCATTGATCCACGAAAATCTTCAGTACTTTTTTCGATATCCCATAATAATTTTGGAGGGCTTTCCACATTAAATAGCTCCCAGCGTGTCTAAGCGTTGAATGTTTTTGTCGAAGCAATTCATAGAGGTCCTCACGCTTGCTGACTTTCTTCCCGTCGTTTTTCTTGGCCCAATCACCATGGTGCAGAAGAACTATTGTCCCGTTTTCGCTGAATAGAGAGAAACGCCGGTGAAGATTTCGTTCTTCAGTTAATTTCCAATTGACTGATGTTGATTGAAGTGTCTCGATCATCTTTACATAGCCTGCATTAGTCGGGAAAGCTCGACTGTGTCGCTCTTGTACGAATTTCTCGAATCGATCGTTAAAAGTGATCATTCTGAAGACCAATGACCTAAAAAGAAAAAAACATGAAAGTTTAAATATAAATATCAGCTACTACTTGTCTACCATGAAGATGAGCAACAATTTTTGACAAACGCGGTGGTTCAGGGTGGAATGAACATTTTTTTAGCAGACATGGGCGAAGACATGCAATATTTTTAAAATTTATTGGAAACTCACAAACGATATTACTTAAATTTCTTAGCCTAAATTTTGCGTGGGTGAAAATATCATAGTTGAAAAATTATAAAAAATTCGATTTATCAAGCGGGATCAATTGACATTTATCGGATTTTGTTCAGATTAGGACGTCCAAAACCGATCACAAGATAATCAATGGCCGGATTCGGACATAACATATATAAAGCAGGAGGGGCGTTTGTCTGTCTGTTCGTCTGTCTGCCTGTTTATCTGTCCGTCTGTCTGTCTGTCTCTCTGTCTGTCATGGCTCCTAGGGGTTTTCAGCCATGAGGAATTTGACCTTTAGGTCCATTTTTAAAAATGGGCGGGACTTAACATGGGTTACAGTAGTTTTAGTCATTTGAAACAAGAAAGAGTGTCGCCAGCGAAAAACGCCGAAAAACGAGCGTTTTCGTCTAGTCTCACTGAAAATTAAAAAAATTAAACTTTAACTCTCAGATAAGTAAAGTCGAAAGCAATTGTATTTAAGATTATCTAAACGATATCTTAAGAACTGTACAACTTTAGCTCGTAAATTTGATGGGAAATCTTGGTGGGAATGATCTTCTCGACATTCATATGTTCGTTGAGATATCGGCGGCTTTTCGTGACGGGAAACTGGCAGAGGTTTGTAATTTTTAAAATAAGCATAGTCTTCAAAATTGAAAGTATATTTTAGTCCTTGATTTTCGTAGTCAGAGACACTCCAGACTGGGATGAAGAGGGAGCGTTTTTGGAGCGTGTTTGGGTGAGTTTTTTAGATTGATCAAACAGTAGTTTTGTGGTAGCTTTATGTCTTTTAGGAAATTGCTTACTATAGGAGTAATCATTAGGCTCAAAACGAGAATTCGTCGGATTTACGAGAAGTCTCGTCGTCTCTTCGTCGCCATTTCCCCGAAATCGAGTGTTTCTGCACGCCGAGAGCTTCAGATAATGTTCGTTTGGCGAATCAACTTTTAGAAGTTCAGGAACAAGGTGGGATTTGAATTAACAATTGAACAATTATCTGATTGAAGTACTAAGATTAAAACTAGACAGGAAAACTCCAACTCGAACCTAATTTCACCTTCGTTTTCTCAGTTGCATTGAAATTCAGTCTACAAGGAGAGAATGATAATTTCTATTTGTAAACAAAATTTCAGAACAATTGAGCATAACTGAAAAAACGAAGGTGAAGTTAGGTTCGGGTTGGAATTTTCTAGTCTAGTTGAAACTCGAAATTTCAGATTTCCCCTTGCTCCGCTGCTTAGCTCGGATCAAGTGCTCGGTGATCGAAAAGTGCAAGAACTTTCAGGGAAAAGAAATTGAAGACAAAATCGATTTGGCTCAGGTTGGCAGATAACTTTTGAATGAAACTTGAAAAATTTGATATTTTCAGAAAATTGTCGACTATCTTCAATACGAGGCGCCTGAGTTGAAAACGACTGCGGTGGTGAGTTTTCGGATAAAGCTAAATAATCATTACAGTACTTTAAAGTTACAGTAATATATCGATATACTTTATGCTCAAAAATGACTAGACATATCCTTTCTGGTGCACTCGATTCCTCATTTTTCTGAGGAGTCTGGGGAAATCGCTGTTGTGAGAAAAGTGAGGAGTCCAGTGCGCTAGCAGGGTTGCGTTTAGGAACTTTAACACAAAGTACACTAAAACAAGTATTGCAATACACCAGAAGGCGTGCGTTAACAACTTTTTAGCACAAAATACATCGAGGAAATTTTAGCTGAGCAAAGAAGCAACGGTGGCCGTGGCGGTGAACAAGTGCAGCGAAATCTTTCGAAAAGCTTTGAAAGTGGGTTGGATAAGACAATTATCTAGATACTAAGCAAGCTTAGAAATAAATTGATCTAGAATTTGAAGGAAAAATGTTTTCGTTTTCAGAACAGCTCTCCAGAAACGTTGCAAATCGCGGAAACGATGGCTCGGAAAGAGATCGATCAGCGTTTAAACGAGCTATTGAAAGCTGGGAATATTCCTGAAGCCAAGAATCTCTTAGAGTCACAGATACAGGTTTGACATTTTTTTGTAAATCTGTAAAATTTCGTTTTTTTGAGGAGATTCTATCCGAAAAGCGGCTTGACTTCAAAAACGTCGAAAATGATAAGGAAATCCGGAGGAAAAGCGACGAGTTTTGCGCAAAATTGAAAACGAATATACAAAAGGTGGGGGAATTCGGCTAAATTATACTTTACGGTCCAGAGTCAATAATATATTCAAAGCCAGTTTTTATGCTTTACTATGCCTAGTTATGTGAACAAAAAAAAGACAAATAATGATCGGAAAAAGTTTAGACCAAATCAATTTTAATTTTTAATTTTGACCTTTTGAAAGACCGAATTTCAGCTGTTTGAAAGTGACAAGAAGGGATCGCATAACAGAAAAGATATTTCTGCACACTACATCATTGTTAACTAGTACATTATTAGTACCATGCTATATAATATTGTGTATCAGCACTGTGCTAAATACAAGTACAAGACTGTACGAAGTATTGTTGTTTGTTACTAGTGCAAGTCTGTTGTCTGTGAGAAGTTAGCCTCCCGGACGTCCCAAGAACCCCGTCCTGAAGCTCATGTCTAATGTAAACTTCACTACGGTTTTTCTAAATGTCTTTTAGAAGGTGCATAAGATCTTACAGTATCTTTAAGCTTTCCAAGCTTGATGAAGCTCTTGAAATGAGAAGAACGGGAAGGGTACGAGAAGAGATTGGCGAGGCAGGGATCGAGCTTCTCGAGACATCGATACAAATGCTTGAGGTGGGAGGTTTTATTGAATTGCTTAGACAAACATTCTTTTAAAAAAGCTGTTTTTTAGAATTTCCTACAAAACCGGATCACTTATTTGAAAGCCCAATTCGTGCAGACAACGCTGAATGAGATGAACAGCGAAATGAGGGAAACACTCGCAAAAGTGGGATGAGTTTTCAATTTTTAAGCATAAAGTACGCCAAAGTTCAAGTCCAGTACAAGCCGAAATCAATTCCAGATCGAAATCCAAACAATTCCCGACCAAAAATGGCTAGAAAGTCAAGTTGACTTGAGAATGAAAGCTTTTGAAGAAAACTGTTTTCGACATGAGATTTGTAATGATGAATGGGAAAAAGTCGAGCCAGAGGCAATGAAAATGTTTATGGTAAGTTTCAAAGAGAAAAGGTAAAGCTTTAAAACTGAAAATGCTTTAGACAACAGCCAGCAATGCCCTTGTGATCATCAAAATGAAAATTGAGGCTAAAGAAAAAGAAATGGCACTTCAAAGAGAGATCGACGTGAGAAAAGATGAGATCGAGAGGGAAAAGAGGAGAAAATTGGAGGTAAAGCTGGGCACAGTACGAAAAAGTTCCTAAATTTTACTAACTTGCAATCAGGATCATGTACTTTGTGCTCAAAAATTGGAAACACACCATTTCTGGTGTACGTTAGACTACTGTAAATGAGATTTGAAACTACTGTAGTCCGTCAAAGATTACTGTAGGTGTAGTTTAGATTTTGCTTGATTTTTGAATTGAATTTGTTTCCTTTTAGGAATCTGCATTGAAAGCCATGCAAGAGGAACGCAAAAGTCAATCCATTGTACCGCAAATGAGAGAAGAGCAGCAAATTGGAAAAGAAAAATCGAAAGCTGAAGATGTGATGGCCGAAATGGAACAATTGTGGCTGAGAATCGAAGAAGAATCGAGAAAAGGAAGAGAAGATTACGAGAAAAAGGTGATTATTGATCGAAACGAGAAAGCAATGGAAAATCGATTCAATGCCCAGCTCAAAGTTCAACTGCCTCCAGTGAACCAGCATTGTGCTAAGCTTCAGGAATCGAAAGTTTCAGACGATCAACCAACTATTTCTGCAAGTCCAGGTCGGCCTCATTTTCCAACTTTAACTAGCTGGCTAGTTTTGCAATTTATGCTAAAGGAAAACACACTCAATCTGGCGCACTCAATTCTTCATTTTACATGGAGTCAGTCTTGTACTTTGTGCTCAAAACCCACCCCTTCTGGTGCACTGAATTCTCCATTCTTCACAATCATTGTCGCAAGTTCAAAGAAGCATTGAGTGCACCAGATAGGGTGCGTTTACAACCGTAGGTTACGGTAAGAGCAGGGGTCACTGTATTCCTATTTTTAAGTACCACGGTCACGGTAAGTGAAGAAAATGCAGAATTGAGTGTACTAGAAAGGGTGTGTTTCCATTTTTCAACCCAAAGCACTCTCTTTCAGACTACAGTGCTGCCGAAAAACTGGTGAAAGATGAACTAAAAGTGTTCGAAATCGTGGTAAAGGTGAGAAAATTCTTCTCAAATCTAGAAAAACCATTAAATTTAGAGAACATCGATCGATCAAAGCAGATTTAAGGCCTTTCTAAAGCGTGAAATGAATCAAACTTTGAAAAATCTCATTGTCAAGTACAAAAAACAACAACTTCCCGAAAGGGATCTGAAGAAATTCAAGGATTTATTGCTCAAAGATGGGCTGAGATTTGTGAGGGTATATTTCCGGATCGAGTTGACCGCAAATGAAATTGAGGTGAGCTTAGCTGCTGCAGACGGGTTCTTTGTCCTCGAATGGAAACACATCCTTTCTGGCGCACTGAATTCTTCATTTTTCAAGTATTAACTATTTGGAAAAGAGGTATTCAATTCACCGGGCAGAGGACGTTTCCATTTCACTCCACAGCACACCCCACAGAGAACCTCTAGCACTATAGTCAATCATTCGGTGACAAACTTTGTGATCTAATTTTTAGAACGCATACTTTCTGGCGCACTGAATCAGCTAAAAAGTTAACTTTAGAATCCAATCGAGAGAGTCATTTCATTCACTGAAGAGGAGAGAAAGGTTTTGAAAAATCAAGCTGAAAAATCAAGGGGATGGATGATGGTGGGTTGAGGGGAGTTGAGAAAAGTTACAAATTTGAATCTTATACACTAGTAATTTAACTGTTTCACCACTAAATGCTTGCCATATTGTGTTCATTTTCAGGGGAAAGAGCTCGACTACCAGGTAGTTCAACGGCAATTCGCACATCAACAACGGCAGGTTGGAAAGTTTGAAGCCTGTACATTGTGCATCTATTTACACTATGTTAAGTTCAGCAACCTGACTGAATTTTCGTTTTAGGACTTCGAAAAAGTCACCAATTTGAATCGTGCCACTTTGGAGATTCTGATCGAGAACTCGAACTCGAGGCGAACGTTTTTCCTTCAAACTTTGGTGAAAAATGGTTACGATCAAGAATTGAAGAATGGGCTCAATCGGAGTCTCGCAGAAGAGTGGATGATGTTCTTCAAAAGAGTGCCGGTAGGTTGGGATAGTTGAGCCGAATCGTGTAGACGAAAATTACAAGGACTAAAAGTAGATGCCTCTAACGTTATTCAAGTTTAATGCTTTGAGCTGGAGGTCGGCTCGCTTGGACTAAAGGGCTTTCTAAAATGGGTCGACGTTTCTACTAAGGTTTCTTCGTTTCTACTAGTCAGTCAATTGGAAACTTTTGAATCAAACTTTTGAAAATTATCGTAGTCTTGCCTCGTTGGTATCCAATTACCCGAATCTTTGAATGCTCGCCAAATCAGACCAACTTGAGTTGGATAAACCTAGGAACGTTATCACGCTAGATTACGTTAAAGTGGGCATGTATTAGACTGAAATGCCGGTGAAAAAAGACAAGTGGGGGCCTACGAGAGCCGTGGGGCACGATTTAGCATTCAGCATTCAATAATCTACAGTGCTTTTTCAGAGGAACGATTTGTGTTTCGAGGAGATGCAAGATTTCGCCTACAAAGTCGCCCATCGATTGTGGATTCAATTCCCTCCGTCATTGATGCAATATTTGGCTGAGAATTTTCAAAGATCTGTGCGTCATCATCAGGTTTTGAGAAAAATTGAAGCAAAACCAGAACAGATCTTCAGAATGTCCCGTTTCAACATGGCCCACTTGGGCATCAAGGTCAAAACCCAGCTCAACATCAATTTCAGAAATGGTCTTATGTTTGAGAAATTAAAATGTTATATTTGAGAAATCCTTTCTATGATTTTTAACCCAATAAAACTTTTGTATAACTTTTCAAAACCAAATACGAAAAATTTATCACGATTAAATATTCCCAAAACAAAATGCGACTGATTTTCAAAATAAAGATCTTTTACAAGAGTGAATCAAGAAAATTGTGGAAATACTGTACGATGGCCATATTGACGATAATAATATTTCATGCTCAAGTGGTCTTTAATTGAAATTCAGGAGCGTAAAGAATACGGTAGAAGCAAGATTACGGTAGTTTTACAAAAATTGTAGAAGCAAGTTTACGATAGAGACAAGATTACGGTAGAAGCAAGGTCATAGTAGTTTCACAAAAGTTGTCACGTTTTAGAGAACGAATTCGTTGAAAGAGACACACTTTAACCTCAAGTGACACATATTGAGTTGATCCATAATTAACCGCCGTTTCTCTGACTAGTCAAGTCCGGGATTAGGTTTCTCGAGAACTACTCAATCGATTCGCGTGTTCTTTTTTTATTCAAGGCTAGATACATCAAAATATTTTTAAAATACAGAAGGTTTCTAAAAATCGCGTGAACCTTTTTTATGAGGGTTTGAGGAAAAAGCTGATTTTTGGAAAAATCTCATTTGTTCACAAAAGACTCTATAAGTCAAAAATTGAAATCAAAAACCGAAAGAACGTGTCGAGTATGGTTTGCCAAGTTTCGATCTGGGGACAAATCTTTGAAAGATGCAGAGGGCCCGGGAGCGGCACCCCAACTGGATGATTCCAAATTACTCGAACTCATTACCAACGACCATCGGGTATCATCGCGTGAATTGGGAAAAGAGTTAGGGGTTGATCATGTTACAGCGCTAAATCACCTTCATTAAATTGGTGAAAAGATCGCCCTTATCAAGGGCGATCTTTTTGAGCCACTTCCATTCATTTCTGAGCTCGTACAGGAGTCGCCCCTCGTGGGAATTCTTTGCAATGAATGGCTAGGTAGTCCGCTAAACTTGTTTTAGTTGAATGCAAGATACATGTTGAAATATTATTACCGATGTCTCATCTCAATTGTCGAAATTTGACCGTAGCCACCGTAGCCAGGATGACTGAGCTTTCCCAACGTAGATCAATCGATTTTTTTCGGTTTTTTTTTCGATTTAATTTCGTATTTGAGTAGCAAGTTTAGCAAGAAACTGTTTAAATTTACCTGTTTTAGACACAATTATTGATTTTCCATTCGCAAACTATCAATTACGTTGGCAAGTTATAAACGATCGCTGGCTTTGTTCAATGATTTCTTAGAATTCAAAAAGATTTTTCGCGGGGTTTTAATCACTCAATCGTCGACCATCTCTCTTCCAATAAAACTGAAAAAAGTGTTTTACAAGTTTTACAAGTTAAAAATGCTTACAACAAAATGTTATCTTGAAAAAGTCAAAAAACTTTTGGTGTTTATGATCGAAAAAAGTTTCGCGAGATCGGCTTTGGGCGGAATTTTGTGACACCAGAAATTGAGAACAAAAAAAAGATAACGAAAAAAACAAATGGGCTAGTTTCAAGCCTTGAAACTTTAACTTTCCTGGATTCTAATCAATTTAGCAATCATTTTTCTCAATTCTAATTAATTTAACGTGCCAGATGGCATGCGTTTATGAACTTTAAAGTTTAAAGTTTAAAACCGAAAGCTTCTATGAAAAGACAAGCGGTCGGACTGGCCTAGTTTACTCCCTCTCGAGCAAGGGAAACCAAGTGCGCTGTAGCGTAATGGCTAGCGCATTATTTATTGCCCTCCTGATGTAAATTTAGCAGACACATCCTCTTTTTAACCACCGACGTTTTTCAATTCTGCTGAGTTTTTAGGTGATTTGTGACTGTCCAGACGACGTGATCGATCTGCAAAGGTTGCCGCCTCTCCCGGACGCTGACCACCACTCAGTCAGCTTCAAAATTGGTTCAACCTGTTTTACTCCGAAGGAAATGGATCGAGTCTGTTTGCATTTTGATTTTGATTATGCCAAAGCGGCGGTGTGCATACTAGATTCTCTAAATCGATCAGGTTTTTGTGCCTCCTCAAATTCTATTGACAAAGATTCTGGCAAGATTGCGAAGAAAAGATTGCGCAAAGATTATGACATCTTTTGCGCTAGTCTCCTAAAATCGATGGAATTAGCGTGTGGTCATTCTCCTTTAATGACCCGGCCGCACTTCTTGAGAGCTAAAAGTAGACTAGCCCATTTTTTCCGTCGTTCCTATTTGAAAACCCTTAAACGACCCTCTAGTTAGTAGGGAACTGAATAAGCTGTTCAAATGTTATCGTAAATTTGAGGAGAATATTGAAAGAGATTCCATTAAATCCAAAAACGGGAAGTCTCTTTGCACATATATTAATTCTAAAACTAAGGACCTAAGCCAAGCTTCAAATTCCTTCCTTGATCCTTCCAATCCATCTCACAATCACCAGAAACCTAACGAACCCTTTCCATCTTTTAAATATGCTTGCCTTGTTTGGTCTCCCCGTTCACAAGTCTCCATTGAACGTTTGGAGAAAATTCAGAGGAGATTCACAAAAATCGCTTTAGGGAAAATTGACTATTCTAAATATTCTAGTTTGATTTATGAGGATAGACTTGCTCTTTTTGAACTAAAAACTTCACAACATTGTCGCTTTGTCATTGTTTTAGTTGAAACTTTCAAAATTCTGCGTTGCAAACAGATTAGCTCTTTTTTGTTGACTTTTTTAATTCTAACCCGAGATCAGAGTCCAGAAATGGTTCAATCATTTTGCAGATTCCTTTTGTGTCTAATGCTTTTATCAGTTTTTGGCGAAAATCGCCTTGATCACACTTTTCGACTTTAGATCTTTGGGAAAAAATTATGCGAAAGTTTAAAGCAGAACAAAACAGAAAAAGATTGAGCAAGAGAGTTTTTTTTGCAAATCTCTTTTGCGTTTTTCATTGTTTTTTTTTGGCTTAAACCCCTAAATTTGTTTGAAATTTGAAAAATTATCTTTTTTCTTTATTTTCTTGCGCAAATTCTCATTGTTTTAATTGTTTTATTGTTTCATTTTAATCAAACATGATGAATCTATTGATAATGTTTTTAGAAAGTTTTTGAACAATTTTTATTGATATTTTGATCAGCTAGCTGGTGTTTTACCCTCGCAAAGTTTGAAAATGAAGAGAGGAGCAAAATCCAAAGTGATAACTTGTTCAATTACTGAAACTTGGCTAGATTTTTCTATGTCTTCTTCTATTTTACCTTAAATAGTTGCCCAGTTAGATCCTTCGTTTTTACTTAGAGTTAACTCCCTCTGGAGTAAGGGAGACCTGATTTAATTTCTCTCAAATTTCAGAGAATTTTTTCGAGAACACCATCAACCATGCTTTAACAAAAGAATCAAACTTTTTAAATAGAATCTAGACTTAAAAAGCTATATAAACTATTTATTTTTCTTTTTTCTTATTTACTACCAAATTTCAGCCACAATCAACCACCAAGGCTGTTGATGAGCTCTACAACCTCTACTTGAACAAGGTCTCGGTGAGTAATTATTCTTCAATATAATTGCTCTACTACTTTGATACTCAATTAGTACACCAAAACATAATGTCTAAAAGTGAGCGCAAAGTATGCCCAAAGAACGACAATCACAACGGTTTTTAACAAGGTTTTAACACATTCACGACGATAAGGCTAAACGAATTATTCTCCAATTCTTGGTTGTAGATTTAACTTTTTATGCGCTATCTTTTTTATTGACTGCTATCTTTCTTTTTCGAAAATTCGGCTTCTTTCTAATCAAAAATCTTCAAAATAAAGCTTTTCGGAAACTTTCAAAAGTCATTTGAAAGAGAAATCATTGGACTATCTAATGAAAAAGCCGTATTTCATTTAGCTTGAGACTTATTCAATTAGAAAATGAATTTGGGTGAAAGACTTTGTACTAGTTTTCAGAAGGAGATTCAAGGCTATCAAATGACTATAATATTGGGTTGGTGAATTGAAAACTGCCGGCTATTGTCATATGTAAAAGTTTGAGCACTTTCTTCAAAAGAAACCCATTTTGGTGCCAATGGAAAAGTGGTAGAGAATCAAAAATGAAGCTTATATCCAAAGTTTCAGAACGATTCAAAAACTGGTTTTCAAGAAATGCTAAATTTACGAATTTTCACAAAACTTGCATTTTAAGCGAAATTACAAAGTGTATCTTTTTGGAAATTTGGCTATAAGCCTAATTTTTGATTCTCTACAACTTTTCTATTGACACCAAAATGGGTTTCTTTTGAAGAAAGTGCTCAAACTAGGACATCTCCAGTCCTCCATTTTTGAGCTCCCACACTTGTCTCACACACAAACCAAAATCCTACTACGAAAGAGGAATTCGCAAATTGCCTGTAAAATGGGCAGAAGTCGTCAATAATAATGGAAATTATTTGGAATGAATTCATGGTTTTATGTTGAATAAATTTTAGTTCCGGCAAAGTCCGGCAGTCTTCAATTCACCAACCCAATAATTTAGCTTATCTTTGAAGTTTTACCAAATCATCAGTAAAACAGTTAACAGTTAACGCCTACGCGACTGTACGCTAAAATACCCTATCACGACTGTATAAAGAGACAAAATGCTCAAGTCGAATAGATGGTCGATAGATTAGCCAATAGATTGATCGATAGAATACATTTTAATAGATTGGATAGATTTACAGTAGCCTAACAGTTTGCAGTAGGTTTTAGTACATTATTAATACCATGAAATTTTAGAACATTGAGCACTACGATGGAGCCGACCAGACGATGATGACCGTTGGGAACGAGCACGCGAGAAAGGTTTAAACCTTGAAAGATGAAATCTAAAATCTATATGTCTGTACTATATTTGTATTTTATCTGTACTATAAGACAAATCAAATATTTTGATTTAGAAGTTCTTCGAAGAAATCAAGAAACGGCGTGAGCGATCGCTCGTTGAAACCAAGTTTGACCAGGATGTGAGTGTTGAATTCTCCATTCTAAAGATAAAGCTATTTTTTTAAAAACTGATCACAATACACTGGCTCTCCTAATCCAATTATTTCCAGAAAACTCCGAGTGTCACCGAGTTGGTGAAGAGAGAGACAAAAGTAAAACAACAACGGGAAGCTTCTTCTGTCCAATACACCCCAACAGCAACTCCTCCCCTGATTGGATCATATAGAAATGAGGAAAAGGTAAAGTCAAAGACTAAACCGCTAGTACTTTGGTAGTACTTTGACTTAGAATTCAAAGGTTGATTCAAGTTCCAAAATTCAGCCGGAGCTCAAATTGCTGCAACTCTTCGACATCACCGAAGACGGGAAAACGTATTTCAACAAGGAAGTGCTCGACTCACTTTGCGCTCAATGTGGCAATCGATCGGTAGAAAGATTTTCTCTAAATTCTTAACTAGTCGCCAGGTATCAGTGATTTCAACAGCTGGGAAATTTCGGCAAGGAAAAACCTTCTGGAATAATGTGCTCTTAAATGGATTGCAGAGGGGAAAAGCCGGTTTTGATCCGGAGGATTTTGTCGGGTTTGGTTTCAAAGAGCTTAGACTTTAGACTTCAGTTCCCTACTGTATTTAAGAATCAAGCTATTGCAAAAATCCAATTTTCCAGGGGACGCGGTCGAATCGAATTCCAACGCGGCTTCGAGCGTCACACCAAAGGAATTATGGTTTGGCCAAAAGTCTTCGATCGACAAGATAAAGATGGGAATGAGGTGAGAATTTCTAAGACTTAGTCTTCTAACTATGGTAAACCTGTGTGCATACTACAGTCAGTCTTTAGTAATACTGTAGTCAACCTGGCCTACTGTTCTTGGTATACTGTAATGATACCGTAGCACTACTGTAAGCTGCCTAGGTTACTGTAACAATACTGTAGCTTGTAAGGCTAAACGCTGTACTTTATTACATAACGTAGTTCGCATTCAATACTTTTCCAGCTAGCCGTCATCCTAATGGACACCCAGGGTACCTTTGACACTTCCAGCAACATTGCCGACTCGGCCATCATTTTCGCCATCTCGCTATTAATGTCGTCGATCAAGGTACGGGATTTTCTAATCCAAATTCTAGCGATTTAGATCTTCAACACAAAGAGTCAAATCGATGCACAGGATTTGGACGCGTTGAACATGTTCATTGCTTTCAGTCAGAGGACGGAGGAGAGAGTGGGACAGGTTTGTGAAAGCCTTGGGTACAGTAGAAATACTGTAGCAATGTTATAGTCTGCCTGGCAGACTGTGAGCACACTGTAGTGATATTGTAGTAGCCTGGGATACTGTAGAAATACTGTAATCGCTTGGGATATTGTAGCGATACTGTAATCGGCTTGCAGCCAGTCAGTCTTGCACACTGCTAGTTTACTGGTGACAGTCTGGCATACCGTAGACAATACAGTTCTACTGGTACATGATAGCCTTTTTGCACATAACTCTCTTCTTTCAGCACTTTATGATCATGGTTCGCGACTCGATCGCCTCCGGCTTTGACCCTGAATACCTGGAGCAAATGAGGGTATGGAAAAAGCTGTACTATTATATTACAGTACTACTGGATGTTTTATTGTACCCTAGTATTACTTCTGCAAAACTATTCAGGTGAACGCTCGCCGCGTCCCCGAACTTGCCCGCCTCCTCAATGGAGTCTTTGAAGCGTTCGAGAAAGTGGAATGCTGTATGGTGCCCCGACCATCCAATGAAGTGATCAACGCATCCAGGGAGATTTTGGCCAAAGGTGGGGTTTTATTGTCCCAGACTGACAGGCCTTAAACTTATATAGTAAAATTGGGTTTATGTTTCATAGCTCTGGTGTAGTAGAAGGGTTGAAGAGTTTAAAAATATGAAACTAGCTGCGTGTGGAACTAGAAATAGCCCAAAGCTAGCTCTATGGAATTTCTGGCATTACTTGTAGACCTAAACCATGAGTTGGGTCTACCAGAAGACCTGATTTCAAACCTGATTTCTGAACAGACCGGCCTAGTAGACTTGTTAAGCGGGGATCTCATTAATGGCTTATCGGGAATTAATGGGAAATGTCAGGGTAAATTTAAAGATATTAAGCTAATGAAAATTTTGATACTTATGGGTTTTACCCACCTCGTCACCCAAATAGAGTTATACCCATCACAAATTTGCATTTATTGTCTTCTTACTTGCTTCTGATAAAAACATTGTTTCTGGTAGCAACGAAATCGAAAACTCCGATCGTCCTTGGGTGTCCAAGATCGATCGTCCTTGGTAAATTTCATGAGATATCCATTGGCACGTTCCGGTTAGTCAATATCCCTGCACGTTGTAAATGTATAAGCACTTGTTCTTCATTTGATAGAAGAAAAAACATCACACCGCACAAAAAGGAGAATGGAAAATCGGCTAGTTTTATCGAAATTCGTACAATTGACTGAATCTATGGGAAATGCAAAGTTGCGGTGGCTAGATTTGGGTGACTAGTCTACTATCTACTGCCTAGTCTGGTTTGCCATGCCCTAGCTAACTCATCCCTGCCCAAAAATGCAGTTAAGCATCTTAGTAACCCAACAAGTGTACACCTCAAGAATCATTTTCAGATTGTGGCGACGATTTCTTGTCGATGCTCTGCGAGTGCGCGAATCATGTGCTGAGAAATTTGGTCCCAAAAATAGTGATGGGTACCCCACTGACTGGGAGAACTTTGGGAGCATATGTGGAGGTAGAAAATCGATGTAATCACATCTACCAGCAAATCCAAATCTGTTATCAACTCTTTTTAAAGACTAGATCATCAGCAAAACCTTTAGAATCTCGTCGATCACATTCACTCAAACAGTCACAAGGCTATTTGCTCGGCCTTCGCGGTGAGATTTTTCTGTTTTCAGTGATTTAGTCTTTCAGGCCACTTCACAACTCTTCTTTGAGAAGGCTCGCATCGCTGGGAATGAGACTTTTGCGGGACTCCATGAAATGGTACCATTTAAAAACTTTTATGGATCTGAAATAGTTACAATTGTTTTTTAGGAGTATATCAAAATTACTAGTATGTTTTTGCACTTACTGAAGCTTTAGCTTGTTCGCGAGCATGGTCATCGCCCGATTCGACCCCGAGACTATGAGGAGGCCTTGCAGAATTTCATCCAACAAGCCATTGAGGTAAAAAGGAATTTTCCGGACTCCAGGGTCTGAAAACTAGATTAGACCAAACAAAGAAAAACCAAAGCCAGGACAGAGAACAGACCTGGTGGGCTTTATTACGTCTGTAAGCCAAAAGGACAGGTCACCAGCCAAGTCTACAGGTTTGGCTCAGCTTGGTCGACAGTAAGTCTGGCCAGAGTTTGAGTACTTTTTTGATTTCAAATAAGAAGGAACTAAAAAACTTCAACGTACTTTCTATCCGTTCAGGCCTATAAATCGAGTCAGCTTTTCGGATCGGCTGAAGAGAAGAGCAAGCATTTTGACGACTTCCGAAAGCTGCTTGAGGTTAGATTTCTTTCAGTAGGTCGTTATAAAACTCAAATTTTCTTATGAAGTACAACTTCTAATTTCCAGGAAAGAGGCCAGGAAAAGGTTTCGAGCAATAAGGATCGCTATAGGGACATTCAAATGGCCGAGGCAGTCAATGGAGCTTACGAAGTGTACGAGAAAGGAATGAGGGTGAGAAAACTTTCAAACTACAATGCACCAGAAAGGGTGTATTTCGAAATTTTGAACACAAAATACACTAGATAGTTTAGCCTGATTTTGTCGAGAGTTTGGAGAAGAACAAGAAAGCTGAGTTTGTGAGAGACCGCCACAAGAAAACTTTCCCCGAAGCGATGAAGCATTTTGAAAATGGTTGGCGTTGGAATTACATTTGAGTTTCAAAAACTGCATTAGACAATACTGTAGGTATCCACCGTAATTAAGAGCAGGAATTAAACTGCAATTTTTAGTTGTCCAAGACTTTCTTGATGAGCCCGATCTGATCGAGTACAAGCGCAACTTGCTCAACGAGATGATTCAGGTGATTACTGGAAAACCCCTAGTATTTGGACTATCTGGTAGTCAGCTAATAAAGCTTTTAAAGATTGATATGCTAACTTTATCCAAATCCCAAGCTTCAGGCTCGATATGAGGACTTGCAACAAGACAACGCCATTCGGCACCTTCACCAACAGGTTGACGAGATGTTCCAAGGATTGGTGGAAGAGCATTGGAAAGCGTTGAAAGAAGCGAGTGATTAGGCTTTGATACAAAAATTCGTATGCATCCAGTTTCTAGAATTTCCTACCATTAGACCTAGAGCCAAGCCAGTCAGCTCAAGGCTTCTGGCCTATCGTTGACCTGGTTCTGGCTCCTGGCTTGGGCCTTGCCAATCCTAGACCTGACTTCTGGCTTGCCTCTGGCCTTACGCGAATTTGAGACAACTTTATCCCGAAGTCCTTCAGAAATTTGAGCTTTCAGCGAGTCGCCACAATCAAAGACGAGTCCGAGATCGAAGAGGCGATCGATGCCTGTGAGAATCTACTCCGGGGAAAGTACGGGATCAAAAAGGTGGCTTTAGAGAAGCCGATAACTTCAAAACTCTATGGAATCTAAATTTTGTATAGCTCTATTCAAATACAGGCTGAATTCGTTGCCGATGTGGCGATCGCTTTGCCCAAAATCTCTCCCGAGATGGTCGAGCGTCTGTTAGACAACTTCAGGGAGATTCAATTGGTGCAATTCAAGGTGAAATCACTTAAAGTTAGATGTGAGGAAACTGGAGGCAAGACTACGATAGTCTTATAAAAATTGGCATATCTTAGAAGACAGTTAGAACGGAGAACTCTAGATGAACCTTGTGTTTTAGAGATGCGAAGACAGCTTCGAGATGGAGGTTCGCCACAATTTGAAAGTCGGCGCGCTCAACAAACAAATGGAGGATCTCCATTTGAAGCAAGCTGAAGACAAGAAGAGATTGGAATCGCTTGAAGAGGAAACGAATGCTCAAATCGGAGGGATGAACGAGCAATTGGGTTCGTTTTTTTGAAGTCATACTTGACATGGAGAAAAGTATCGGCAATAGAATTCGAATTTTCAATCTTAGCGCTGACTTCTTAAAGTTCCGGTATACTGGTGATTTTGGTGAATTTGCTTACAATTCATCTTAAGCCCGAATCGGCCCCCGGTTAACTCCCGGAATTTAGTGGGGGGTTAACTGCTGGTGAAACATAGCCAGATGAAAGTCTTTAAAATTTAAGTGCGATTTCAAGAACTGTATCTAATTGTTAGCCAAAAAAAGCAACCCATTTCTATTTTAGTGGAAGAGCGTCGACTCCGTGTCGAGGCCGAGAGTGGCGGCTCAAACGTGCAGGCAATATTGGCGATGATGAAAGCGATGAACGAGAATTCAGAAGCGTAAGTAATAAAAATCCACTAAAGAATCAAGAACCCTAAACTCTTAATTTCATAAAAGCCATCTTTATCCTTTTAGTCAGAATTCTAGTCAAAACTTTTCTTACTATAAGCTTAGCCAAGAAATGAGTCAGACCTGGAATACTTGATTCTAAAAGCTATCTTGACATACAGTACTTTCATTGTAAATGTAGTTTTTTAAACGAAATTTTTACTCTTTAGCCAAATGGAGCAAATGCGGCATGAAAGGGACGAGCGAATCGCGCGCGAGGAAAGAGATCGTCAAGAAAGGGAGAGACGATACGAGACAGACATGGAAATGATGAGAATGGTGAGGAAAAGCTAAGTTAATTCTTTAAATTTGAAATTTGTTTACGTACACAACTAAAGCGTGATTACCAGGAACAACAAGAGCGCGCTCGTCGCTACGAAGCTGAAGACCAGAAGAGACGCGAAGACATAAGGGTGAGGGGCATTTGAAAGGCTATTTTTGTGCTTTTAGACTTTATGAGGGTGGGAAACTGACCCAAGAACGGTTGGCAATACTAGACCCGGACCGGAGATAAAGGTCGGCTTGTTCCAGTTTGTTTGGCTTGACTTGTCTGGTCGGCTTGTCAACTCTGATTTTCGATTGTCAACAACTAGTCAGCAGACTAGCATCAAGACTCGCCCCAGCTCCTGGACTTACAACTAGTCGAGTCTTCGACTAGGCTGATACTAGTTTGGGCGCTGGCCGGGACCGAACCATGGTCGCAAAAATAGGAGGCGGGGACTCTATCTGCTGACCACGAATACATTTGGTCTGACCGAAAGAAGTTCTTTTATAGTCTACCTGACTCGGCCAGAGGGGTGTCTTGAGACTGTCCCTGGTCAGGGCTGATCCGGCCGAGTTTGACCTATTTGGCTAGGGTAAGGTTTTTCCACGAAATAGCTTTTGAACTCATCCCATTCTCTGCTTAGCCTCCCTGCGGTGGTTTTACTCACAAAATAGAATTCTCGCTTTAAATCTCATTTCCAGAAGCAACAGCAGGCGATGGAATGCCAGCGACAGGGACACGAGGCCAAAATGGCCGCCATCCGTAACCGACCTCCGCCACCACAACCCAAAATTTGCTCAATTATGTAAAGAGATTTTGTTTTTGACTCACGATTATTGTCAGATCTTATTTTCATTCCAATGATATTATTGCTAAGAAATTTTTTCCAATTTATCTCGCTCTTTTTGATCGTTTTTATCACAATATTGTCACTCTGAAAGTTTTGAATTCATGACTTTTGTTAAAAAGTGTTTCATCAACTTTTGATTATAGTTGGATCAATAGTTCACGAGACAATTTTGCTAAGAAAGCTTTCTAATTTTGCCTTTTTTAAAATAACCCTGTTGACTAAATAATTGTTGAAAATTTTGTGCTTTTATGAATCAAAAACTATTTATCACAGCACCGTAGCACAAATGGAATTCATAAACGTTGAAAACTTGATGTTTTTTCAATCACCAGCAATCGTCGAGATTAACACAATGCACCCGATGGGGACAAAGAAATCAATCATACAACCGCATAAAACATTCTCACAAGAGCTTTGACTGTAGAAAATATCTTTTCTAAGCTTTTCACTTTGATTCAGACATTTTGATTGGCAACTCATTGAGCTTGAGCTCAACGGTGAGTTTCTTGAGCTCTAAAATTTTCGTAGATCATGGTTTGAAAATCTCTTGGTTTTCAAAGCGTTTGGTGCTCTAGGTGCAATAAGTTTTAAAAGCTGCTGAAACAGTTCCAAAACTATAAAAACATGCAAAAGTAGTGCCGATTCAATCGTTACAGTCAGCAAAAAAGGCTTGCACCATTGTCTCCCAAAGTCTTAAAACCAAGAATTTTTCGCAAAAATAAACGTTTCAGAGAAAGCTTGTTGGCAACTAATTCTACCATTGTGGTCTAGTTTCCGAATATGTTATTCATTTTATTGCAAGTTATTTCTTTTGGCGTAAAAAATAAGTGTTATTAGAGCAACCGGTTTAAAGCGCAAAAAAAAGTCTTGCACCATCGTTGTATTCTGTTGTAAACTTTTTCTTTTTCTTTTCTGACTTTGTTTTTTGCGCATTAATTTATTTTTTTTAGATGCCCTGCGAGCGATATCTGGACACTTCGACCAAGGAAAACATTGTCAAAGCCCGTCAAGGAGGGATGAAAGTGAAGGCCATTTGTGATTTCTTTATCGTTGATCGCTCTACCGTCTCCAGGCTTTGTAAACGACAAAAACTAGAAAAACAAAACGAAAAAAACAAAAATTTTAATTTTAACAAATTTAAAATATTTGCGCAAAAGACGTTTTTGTGAGTCCATCACGGTTGCGCTGTAAGCCAAAACCGTAAATTGCGACGACGAATTTTGCGCTGGCGAATTTTTGTTTTTGGCTTGCGGCGCAATCTTCACGGCGTAATCATCATGGTCCTGTTTTTGTTTGTGTGCGCAAATGACGTTGCGCAAAAGACTTGTCCGCAAAAATACGTGCGCAAAAGACGCTTTTGTGCGTGCGCAAATGGCGGTGCGGTATTGTCATAGTCCCGAAAATCTCATGGTTGTGGCGCTATTTTCCTGCTTCGAATTCTTTTAAACACTCGCTGATTTGCTCTGTATCTAAGTTTAACTCTGAAATTATTATAGTGTATGTTTTCCTTGCCAAAAAGACCCGCTTTTTTATTATTTATTGCTCTCCTGATGTAAATTTAGCGGACATATCTTCTCTTTTTAACCACCGACATTTTTAAATTCTGCTGAGTTAAACATTCTACTTGGTGTTTTTAATTTCCGTGTCGGCTTTTTGAATGATTCTTTTGCATTCGCTATAAGTATCATCATCCCACTATTTCACTTGAAAGTTTCCTTCTTACGAGCTCTGTTTTCATTTTAAATACATTTCCTATTTTAGATGATTTGTGACTGTCCAGACGACGTAATCGATCTGCAAAGGTTGCCGCCTCTCCCGGACGCTGACCACCACTCAATCAGCTTCAAAATTGGTCCAACCTGTTTTACTCCGAAGGAAAGGGATCAAGTCTGTTTGCATTTTGATTTTGATTATGACAAAGCGGCGGTGTGCATACTAGATTCTCTAAATCGATCAGGTTTTTGTGTGTTCTCAAATTCTATTGACAAAGATTATGACATCTTTTGCGCTAGTCTCTTAAAATCGATGGAATTAGCGTGTGGTCATTCTCCTTTAATGACCCGGCCGCACTTCTTGAGAGCTAAAAGTAGACTAGCCCATTTTTTCCGTAGTTCCTATTTGAAATCCCTTAAACGACCCTCTAGTTAGTAGGGAACTGAATAAGCTGTTCAAATGTTATCGGAAATTTGAGGAGAATATTGAAAGAGATTCCATTAAATCCAAAAACGGGAAGTCTCTTTGCACATATATTAATTCTAAAACTAAGGACCCAGGCCAAGCTTCAAATTCCTTTCTTGATCCATCCAATTGCTAAATTCTTTCACAGCGTTTGCAATAGCTAGAAACCTAACAAACCCTTTCTGGCTTTTCCACCAGTTGGCCGACTGGTTAGGAGTCTTGTCTCCTAATCGGAAGGTCGAGGTTTCGATCTCGTTGGCAAAATCAAGTGTGTTCTTTTTCCCATTAAGTTGGGTTTTTTTCTTAACTACATTGTAGGGGTAAAAATTGTGTCCTCCGTTGTGTTGTATCCACTTATTCATGTTGAATAAAGTATCTTTAAACAGATCCCACCATAAGCAAAATTTCTTCTTACAGCCAGCAACATCGAAGCTGCTTTCAAAAAGTTGGGGCTCAAAAAATCGCTTAGTCCAGACAAGATTACTGCTTTTGCTCTAAAGAGAGTGTGGAAAATTCTAGTCTATCCTCTTGCCTAAATGCTTTAATAAAATTTTACTTGTCTCTGAGGTTACTTGTCTACTGGAAACAATTTCTTGTGTCATCTCTTCTCAAAAAAAAATCGTCCAAGAACATATTCGCTAATAGCTAATTACCGTCCCATTCCTCTAACCTCCCCTGTGTCAAAATTTTTTGGAATCATAAAAGATAAAATTTCCCCTCATTTTGACAAATAGAACCTTTTCTCTGACCAACAGTTTGGCTTTTTTAAAAATAAATCCACCATTCTCAACTTATTTTAGCCTATCAAGCTTTACGGTTTAGCATTAATCTACAGTGCTTTTACAGAGGAACGATTTGTGTTTTGAGGAGATGCAAAATTTCGCCTTCAAAGTCACCCATCGGTTGTCGATTCCATTCCCCGCGTCATTGATGCAATATTTGGATGAGAATTTTCAAAGATCCGTTGGTCTAGAGTGTGCTCATTGTTGACAGACAATTTGTCAGACAAATTTGCATTGACAACTTTTTTGTCAGACAATTGATCCGACAAACTTCCGACAACGCATTTTCTAAAAGGTGCGCTTTTTAAGCAAAGCTATAAAGGCCGCGCGAAAAAAATGTGCAAAATTTCCTTGAATTGTAGTAATGGATAGTTTTATCTAAGGATTTAGGTTTTTAGGGCGTGAAATTTGTTTTTGAATAGCTCTAGTGCAAATGTAGACAATAGGCCTGGTAAATTCGTAAATAATATAATTTTTTAATAGTGTTTCTTAACTTTTTCCGTTTTAAGTATGTTTTCTTTAATTTTACATAGCATTTTAAAGTTTTTAAGTTTTAGAGAACTTTTGACATGAGCTGCGACGAAAATCAAATCTTTCGCGCGGTCTCCGACTTCAGGAAATGCGGAGAACGACCATCTTAAGGTATTTTTTTGCTTCTCTTTAGACTTTTTCAACAAATTAAACAAAATTGTTTTAGGGTTGTTGATGTGGACTCTCTTACGCTCGTCGACTTTCAAGAAGACTAGAATGACAAGCAACGCGGCAGCTTTACGAGGACGGTTTTTTTTTCTTGCATAGTTTTCGTAATTTTAACAAAATACCGGGGTTAATTTCGCTTTTTTAGTAAAGAAGAAAAGAAATGGAGGAACCACAATGATTAGCAACAAATTAACAAAGATCAACAACTATAAAAAGGTAAACTTTCTTTATAATTCCATAGATATAAAATCTTCCTCATCACGGGTTTTTGTGATCAGACAGTGATTCAGCCTCCAATGAGCATCCCGCTAGGGCCATTTCCGTTAGGGCTAACTGCTTTTCTTCGTACAAAATAGATGGGGAATTCTTGATGATAATCTTGCTAAATTTTTTTAAAACCCAAACTGCGAAAAATAAGACCTAGCGGAATTTGTGAGGGCCGTAGCGAGGAACAGTCGGCTGTCATCGCCCAGAGTCGGCTGTCAATCTGCTTTTTTGAGAATCAAAGAAGATTCGTGTGACGTTGTCCGCTCCGCATCGATTGAAGTAATCGGTATAAGGAGGTACTTTGATGCAATTTGTAAAGCTATAATCATACGGGTTTTATATATGTTGTAGGTAAGACCAGGGTACCGTAGGGAACTTGGAGCGATTTTCTTTTTTGGGCTCTCTGTTGTATCTATCATAGGTTGCGTAGGCCTCGGTACTAAAATACCAAGTTTTATAAATACGCCCTAATAATCATTATATCTTTGCTTTGGCTCACCAGCACATTTGTTCCAATCACTTTCGTCTTTGGCCATTGGATTGAATGGTATTTGATGGTCGAGGAATGATGCCTCCTATAATAGGTTTTTGTCAAAAATTAGCTAATTTTTTATGTCAAATATCGAGATTATAACGGAGTCTTTAGCTTGTGAAGCTCAAGAAATTTCGTAGCTAAGGGGGTTGCGTTGTTCTCTAGTTGAATTTCCTCTAAGGTGACTCGGTAGGGAACCGCCAAGACTTCGCAGAACTCAATTATTTTTTTGTTCCTCGTCCTTGTGAATGATAGTTCGGCTTAACTTCACAAGGATCTCGTTGAGAAATTCAAGCTAAGCTTTTTTTTGTTTGACTATAATTAGAAAGTAGAACAAACATTTTTTAGGCTGTTTTTAAGCATATCGAAGGTGGATCCCCAGCGCGTCGCAACATCTAACTGTGGTCTAGTTGAGGTTGGAAATCTTCGTTTAAATGCTTCTTTTAAATTCTACTTTTAGAACGATGCTTTTGGATAGAGCCACGACCGCGTTTCTAA